GTGTGGTTTACAAATCCCCATAGCCGTATTATTGGCTGATACGAATGTCTATCAAATGCGCCTGTGCTCCCTCGCCGTTCTGTGATTGGTTCACTTTTTCAGGGAATAGTTTGGTTCATGGTATCCAGACTGCCTAGCAGAGCGAATTAAATCGGCAGAATGGGGAAACCCAGACTACTATACGCATGTGACGGGTAGGTTTAGGGGCGGGGTCAGGAGTAGGTCATTCGTAGGAATTCATTCGAATTGGGCAACTCATAAAATATAAATATGAATGATTTAGCAAAAATTTTATGAAGTCGTATAAATTTGCACGAATTTGCCATGAGATCGGGTTGGTATATCAACCAATCATCGACAAGACATAAATAACGTGGTATTAGTATGAACTGCTACCGCTGATGTCACTACAGAGAGTAGAGAAATTGAATATTTGATCGCAAACAAATTTATTAAACTACCATTCATACTTAGAAAACATATAAAGTGAAGGAAGATCCATGTCTAATCTGGATAGGCCACAGCAATCAGCTTCACTAAACGGCCAATCCTGCTCTTTAACTCGGACACTTGCAGGAAAAGCACAGAAGGATGGATGTTTTTAACTGATATAGGCTTGGACTAGGTGAGTGAACTTAATGTCTTTATGTGTCGTTTTCTATAAATATTCAGGTTTATAAGTGACCAAAAAATCCGACCGCTAAAATGTTTGACCGCTGTTTGTTTTCCTTCAGTGACATTTCTCAACGGCTCGTCTGTCCCCATGACTGTGTGTCACTGACCCACACTTCACTATTCTGAGCAGTGACTCAGCCTGATCTTCTGCTTTCCTCTGACAGCGTTCCCAGCATGCTCTCTGCTCCGACACACCGTTTCCCAGCATGCTCTCCTGCTGAGCGAGGATCTCCACACACAGGAGCCAGCGCTGAGCACATTAGGCTGTAGCTCTTCTGCAAGCGTGATGGAGGGACACTGACAATTTTTGTTCTTATTATTTAGGTATGTGGCATGTATATGTGTAATAACCGGGAAAATGTACATCCAGACAGTTGTTATCTCAGAACCCCCTTCAGTGTGTGTGTGTGTGTGTGTGTGTGTCTGATCTCAGAATAAACCCCTGATGAAGACCTGATCCTGATCACCCTATATATATATATATATCAATTACTTAACTAATTAACCTTATACGTAATAATTATTACATTTCAGTTTTGATATGAGAAAAGATATATATATATATATATATATATATATATATATATATATATATATTATCTATATACCCAGATATATTATTTATTTCTCAAAATAATAACTATATATCTCGCAATTCTGACTTTATATCTCGCAATTCTCACGTTACATCTCACAATTCTGACTTTATATCTCACAATTTTGACTTTATATCTCACAATTCTGACTTTATATCTCACAATTTTGACTTTATATCTCACAATTCTCACGTTACATCTCACAATTCTGACTTTATATCTCACAATTTTGACTTTATATCTCACAATTCTGACTTTACATCTCACAATTCTGACTTTATATCTCGCAATTCTGACTTTATATCTCACAATTCTGACTTTATATCTCACAATTCTGACTATATCTCACAATTCTGACTTTATATCTCGCAATTCTGACTATATCTCACAATTCTGACTTTATATCTCACAATTTTGACTTTATATCTCACAATTCTGACTTTATATCTCACAATTTTGACTTTATATCTCACAATTCTGACTTTATATCTCGCAATTCTGACTTTATATCTCGCAATTCTGACTTTATATCTCGCAATTCTCACGTTACATCTCACAATTCTGACTTTATATCTCACAATTTTGACTTTTAATCTCACAATTCTGACTTTATATCTCACAATTTTGACTTTATATCTCACAATTCTGACTTTATATCTCGCAATTCTGACTTTATATCTCACAATTTTGACTTTTAATCTCACAATTCTGACTTTATATCTCACAATTTTGACTTTTAATCTCACAATTCTGACTTTATATCTCACAATTTTGACTTTATATCTCGCAATTCTGACTTTATATCTCGCAATTCTGACTTTATATCTCGCAATTCTGACTTTATATCTCGCAATTCTGACTTTATATCTCGCAATTCTCACGTTACATCTCACAATTCTGACTTTATATCTCACAATTCTGACTTTATATCTCACAATTTTGACTTTATATCTCACAATTTTGACTTTATAACTCGCAATTCTGACTTTATATCTCGCAATTCTGACTTTATATCTCGCAATTCTGACTTTATATCTCGCAATTCTGACTTTATATCTCGCAATTCTCACGTTACATCTCACAATTCTGACTTTATATCTCACAATTTTGACTTTATATCTCACAATTCTGACTTTATATCTCACAATTTTGACTTTATATCTCACAATTCTCACGTTACATCTCACAATTCTGACTTTATATCTCACAATTTTGACTTTATATCTCACAATTCTGACTTTACATCTCACAATTCTGACTTTATATCTCGCAATTCTGACTTTATATCTCACAATTCTGACTTTATATCTCACAATTCTGACTATATCTCACAATTCTGACTTTATATCTCGCAATTCTGACTATATCTCACAATTCTGACTTTATATCTCACAATTTTGACTTTATATCTCACAATTCTGACTTTATATCTCACAATTTTGACTTTATATCTCACAATTCTGACTTTATATCTCGCAATTCTGACTTTATATCTCGCAATTCTGACTTTATATCTCGCAATTCTCACGTTACATCTCACAATTCTGACTTTATATCTCACAATTTTGACTTTTAATCTCACAATTCTGACTTTATATCTCACAATTTTGACTTTATATCTCACAATTCTGACTTTATATCTCGCAATTCTGACTTTATATCTCACAATTTTGACTTTTAATCTCACAATTCTGACTTTATATCTCACAATTTTGACTTTTAATCTCACAATTCTGACTTTATATCTCACAATTTTGACTTTATATCTCGCAATTCTGACTTTATATCTCGCAATTCTGACTTTATATCTCGCAATTCTGACTTTATATCTCGCAATTCTGACTTTATATCTCGCAATTCTCACGTTACATCTCACAATTCTGACTTTATATCTCACAATTCTGACTTTATATCTCACAATTTTGACTTTATATCTCACAATTTTGACTTTATAACTCGCAATTCTGACTTTATATCTCGCAATTCTGACTTTATATCTCGCAATTCTGACTTTATATCTCGCAATTCTGACTTTATATCTCGCAATTCTCACGTTACATCTCACAATTCTGACTTTATATCTCACAATTTTGACTTTATATCTCACAATTCTGACTTTATATCTCACAATTTTGACTTTATATCTCACAATTCTCACGTTACATCTCACAATTCTGACTTTATATCTCACAATTTTGACTTTATATCTCACAATTCTGACTTTACATCTCACAATTCTGACTTTATATCTCGCAATTCTGACTTTATATCTCACAATTCTGACTTTATATCTCACAATTCTGACTATATCTCACAATTCTGACTTTATATCTCGCAATTCTGACTATATCTCACAATTCTGACTTTATATCTCACAATTTTGACTTTATATCTCACAATTCTGACTTTATATCTCACAATTTTGACTTTATATCTCACAATTCTGACTTTATATCTCGCAATTCTGACTTTATATCTCGCAATTCTGACTTTATATCTCGCAATTCTCACGTTACATCTCACAATTCTGACTTTATATCTCACAATTTTGACTTTTAATCTCACAATTCTGACTTTATATCTCACAATTTTGACTTTATATCTCACAATTCTGACTTTATATCTCGCAATTCTGACTTTATATCTCACAATTTTGACTTTTAATCTCACAATTCTGACTTTATATCTCACAATTTTGACTTTTAATCTCACAATTCTGACTTTATATCTCACAATTTTGACTTTATATCTCGCAATTCTGACTTTATATCTCGCAATTCTGACTTTATATCTCGCAATTCTGACTTTATATCTCGCAATTCTGACTTTATATCTCGCAATTCTCACGTTACATCTCACAATTCTGACTTTATATCTCACAATTCTGACTTTATATCTCACAATTTTGACTTTATATCTCACAATTTTGACTTTATAACTCGCAATTCTGACTTTATATCTCGCAATTCTGACTTTATATCTCGCAATTCTGACTTTATATCTCGCAATTCTGACTTTATATCTCGCAATTCTCACGTTACATCTCACAATTCTGACTTTATATCTCACAATTTTGACTTTATATCTCACAATTCTGACTTTATATCTCACAATTTTGACTTTATATCTCACAATTCTGACTTTACATCTCACAATTCTGACTTTATATCTCACAATTCTGACTTTATATCTCACAATTTTGACTTTATATCTCACAATTCTGACTTTATATCTCGCAATTCTCACGTTACATCTCACAATTCTGACTTTACATCTCACAATTCTGACTTTATATCTCACAATTTTGACTTTATATCTCGCAATTCTGACTTTATATCTCGCAATTCTGACTATATCTCGCAATTCTAACTTTATATCTCACAATTCTGACTTTATATCTCACAATTCTGACTTTATATCTCGCAATTCTGACTTTACATCTCACAATTCTGACGTTATATCTCGCAATTCTGACTTTATATCGCACGGTTCTGACTTTATATCTCGCAATTCTGACTTTATATCTCCCAATTCTGACATTATCTCGCAAATTTGACTTTATATCTCACAATTCTGACTTTATAACACGCAATTGCAATATTATATCTCGCAATTGTGACTTTTACATCCGGCAATTCTGAGAAATAAAGTCAGAAATACGAGATCTAAACTCGCAATTGTGAGAAAAAAAGTCACAATTACCTTTTTTATATTTCATTCTGTGGCGGAAACAAGCTTCCATAAATTACAGTACACTGTAACAATGACACCTTAAAATAAAGTGCAATCCAAATCAGTAAACAAGGGAAACACATATCACTGTGAATGTGAATGAAATCACAATGATTTATCACGTATACATCAATCAACATCAACACTCGTTTGCTGGTTCATTTCACTTTTTCTTTTCACGTGGAATGAAAGCAGCGCAATGCTAATCTCTTAAGCTAGCGTTCGGCTGCTCCCGCTGAGAGTAGTTTGGCTCGATAAACACGAAGCTTGATTCCTCAACACTCCTCGGACATGGTTCTGGAACTTTCTTCCCAGAAAGGTGTAAAAAACGGGGTTGACGCAGAAATAGAAGCGAGCGATGTTGGAGGTGACGTACAGAGCGTACTGAAGCAAGCTTTCACAATCTTCGGGATCTCGGTTCTCGTTCATCATGAGTACGATGTTATACGGGCTCCAGAAGAGGAAGAACATCAGCACGACTACGAAGATGAGCCGCACAGTGCGGATTTTCCCGCTCATCCGCGTGGACAAGACTGTTAGCGTGATCCTGAAGTAGCAGTAGATGAACACGCTCAGCGGGAAGACGAAGAACAGGACGAACTGCTTGTAGAGGCCGAACACCTTCCACTGGGGTTCGCTCGAGTCTTCACACACTAACCCTTCCCTCGAATACTCTTCAACCGTGAAATGGATGAAGGTGTCGCTGTTAGCGAGGAGGCTAATGCTCCAGACCGCTGAAGATAAAGCCACGGCGTAGAAGGTCCTGCGCTGTCTGCTAGCGGCCACACAGTGGACCACGGCCAGGTATCGGTCGAACGCCATGAGAGTGAGGAAGAGGATGGAGCTGTAGAAGCCGAGACGGTCCACGGTGTTCACCAGCTTACACATCGCCTCCCCGAACACCCACTGGTCGGAGTGGAAGATGGCCTGGAACGGCAGCGTGAGCGTGAAGAAGATGTTGGACGCCACCAGGTTGATGAGGAAGATGTTCGTGACCGTGTTCAGCTTCTCGAACTTGCATATGACGAGCAGAACGACTCCGTTTCCCAGAATGCTGAAGATGAAGATGATGTAGTAGAACGGGGGCAGAAAGTGTTTGGCGAAGTCGTTGCTGCCGTTGCTGTCGCACACATAGGCAGCGTCCGCTGTCCCGTAGTCGTATTCTGTGGTGTCAGCGAGCGTCTCCATCGTGCCGGTCACAGGCTCCATCTGCAGGAGTGAGCCGCTCATTACACTGAGGACTGGACACTTCTGCGTCATTCAGAACTATATGCAGGACTAATGTCAACCGATGTTTAAAACATTACTGGGTTAGGGTTAGAGTTACTCTATTACTTAATTAACCCAAAAGAAATAAACCCAACATGGACAATTAGCATGACGCACAAAACGTTTAACCTTGAAGGGATAGTTCACTTTAAAATTAATTTTTGATATGTTTTATCTTTCCTCAAGGGCATCCAAGATGTTTGGTTAAACCGTTGGTCTGTCAGTCACATAATGGGGGTCTATGGTCACCACCTCAAAGATCATGCACAGAGAAGTCCAGATTAAACATGATTCGTGAATGTAAGTACACGTTGATGACTTAAGACACAAAACGAGCGGTTTGTGTGAGAAAACGAACAGTATTTATATCGTTTTTACCTCTTGTAATCACAGCCACATCCAACTGATCTGAAGTGATCTGCAGAAGGGATCTCTCATGCGTGTACGTCACTCATTGTTTACACAGAGATTTACACACAATGGAAGACGATTTCGACAGACAACATCAACAGACAACGTTGATTTTGTTTTTCTGCAACCACGCGAGAGAACACTTCCAGTGCTTTCCGACGCTTGCGCAGACCGAAGCACCCGTGCCGTCAGATCACTTGGATGTGGCTGTGGTTACAAGAGGTAAAAACCGCTCACACAAACCGCTCGTTTCGTGTCTTAGGCCATCAGTGTGTACTTACATTTACGAGTCATTAAATCATGTTTAATCTGGACTTTTCTGTGCATGCTCTTTGAGGTGGTGACCATAGACATCCATTATATGACTGACAGACAAGAACGGTTTGACCTAAAAATATCACAATTGAAAATACTTTGGAAACAAAGACACCTACATCTTGGATGCCCTTGAGGTAAGATAAAACATACCAAAAAATAATTTCAAAGTGAACTATCCCTTTAATTAATAATTAAAGTTATTTTAATCTAAGTAATTCCCTTCCTTTCTTTCTTTCTTTCTTTCTTTCCTATTGATTTTACTGTCTAGTTCTCTCTATTTTGTGCTATGGTGTTGGTGTAGTGTTTTCTTTTACTATTCTTTATATTTTTGTTATTTTTAATAATCATTATAGTGTTCTAATTTTGTTGTTTCACACTGTAAACTGAATGTTGAAATAAAGCATTAAAAATAATAATAATAATACAGGACTAATGACTAATTCTACATGAAATCTTTCAGCTGTTAACTAATTCAAGTCACTCGTTTAAATAGCATGTTTAACAGTCTAGATGTTTCAAAGCAGCTTTACAGAGATAAACTTACAATTTATGTACTTATAACTTATACAGTTTAGGTATTTATAACAAGTACCTGTACTTAGGTACTTAAAAACTTATAATTTAAGGTAACAGAGATTGGTTTGGTTTTATAGTGGTTCTTGAATAATGTTATTTTCCAGCTAAAGTTGGTTTTGATTGAGTCACTTCCATTGAAATGAGCATTAGTTATAAATTGGAGACGACACCGTTCTCTCTAAACAGACTTTAAACTGAACCTGTGATAAACGCTGACATTAAGAACTGATTCTATAGTTATGTGTGTTTGAGTAAATGTGCGCAGGTTTGTAATTCCCTATACACCGTGCCTAAAAAAACTAGCATTGCCTATAAATTTTGATACAGAATTGTATTAACTGATATAGAAACAAGCTTAACTAATTAGATTATATCGAATTTAGGACTAAGACAGTTAATACTTTATTAGGTAGATTGGCCTCATTAAGAATAACTAATAGGTAATTATGACAAATTATTATTACTAATCACAACTTTAACATTTCTGCACAGTAAAAATGAATATGCTTTATCTAATCAAAAAAAAATTGTGGCAACAGATTACAAGCAATATTATTAATTAAATTTAACAAATTGGAATTGAGTAATAATTTATCAAATTAATTCCTTAAAAGTTAACCATTTAAAATGAGTAAAACTTACAACAACAACCAAAGAAACATAAATGTAAGTCACCATTATGGTGATCGGTGTTTGTTTTAAAATGCCGGTTTTCTCCTTCAGTGATTCTGCTTGTTAACATCAGGTGTCTTCAATGTTGCCAATATAAAATAAAGAGTTCTTAATTAATCTTTGACGTCAGTCTGTTAGTGAGATATTTTTGTTAATTTTTGTGGTGTAAACTTTACTCATTTTAAGTGGTTAACTTTTAATTTGATTAATTACTACTCAATTGTAATTTGTTAAATTTAATTAATAATATTGCTGGTTATCTGTTGCCACAATTCTATTGATTCGATAGAGCATATTCATTTTTACAGTGTGAGACGTTAGCAATTATCTTTTTTTATGCACAACGAATGCATAAAATGCATCACTAATGTAGGCAACACTCTTCAATGCAATGGAGACCTGGACCATTAATGTAGAGTGAAAAATTACAAATTACACCATAAAATTATGATCTCCAGTAGCTCCTGCATAATATAGGCAACACTTGAGTAAAAACGATGACTGATTACGGCTGAGAAAGTTAACTAATCTCATTATTGTAGATATTTAGAAGTATCTCCTAATTTTGATACTACTTACTGGTTAGTTAAGCTTGTTTCTATATTAGTTAATAGTAGCTGAATTGTTAATGTAGTAACTACTCTTTCATCCTGCATTAGTTATTAATGATGGAGTATCACTATAAAGAGTTATCTAAAAAAAAATCATTCAAATTATGAATTTACACTTACCATATAATACACCCTTCACTGTTTGTCTGCCCAGTTCATCAAAAGCAGGGGATGTGTGATTGTCAAAAATCTGAATCATTTCTAGTAACAATCCTCCCTTCCTGTTTATGATGACACCAGAATTACTCACGCGTTGCCATGACACCGCAGATCAGCCACTCCCCTTTATTTGAACAAAGCAAATCAGAGATTTTACAAAGACAAATTAGACCTGCATCATTTGGGAATTTCCCAGAATCCCTGAAGCTTTTCAATAAAACAACCAAACCCTTCGGGATACACACGCTTTTACACTTCTCTGGACTTTCACCACTCATTTCTGACTCACTCTGACATTTCAAACTAGTTTCAGCAAGTAAATGGGGCGGCAGTGGCTCAGTGGTTCATGTGGGTTGTCTACAAACCGAAAGGTTGGTGGTTCAATCCCCGGTTCCACCTGACCTGACCACCTGACCCCAGCTGCAATGTAAAGCGCTTTGGTGGCCATTAGGTCTATCAAAGCGTTATATAAATGCAGTCCATTTACCCTCAACAAGTGAATCAAACAACAGATTACAATTGAATGTTAAAGTAACAACAAATGGTCATATATAAATTTAGAAAGAGCAATAATTTCCAACAATGAAATATTTCACTGGAACGTACTTATAACAAGCAGTTTGCATGGATTCACAAATAAATGTAAAATATTTAAAATAATTACATGTCAAATTTGTATCTCACACCTTATCTTAAATATGTTACAGCCAAAAGAGATTCTTCAACACACACAAAATGGAATAAATACTTTAAAATAGAAAAAAAAAAACCCTGTTTCAGGAAAATCAAGACATACTTTTGTCCAAACAGTTTCCCCAGTATTAATGCATGTCATCTTTATTCCTAATCTTCCTGAGCACCAAATGAATGTTTTTAATGTTTGCATCTCAGATCCCTTGTTTGGCAACAATAGCCATTTGCTTTATTAATACTAAATATTCATAAGTAATGGCGATACATATTACTGTTAATTGCTATGTTTATGACATTTTAACACTCATCCACTTGCAGTATTATTTCACAAATGACCTTATGGCCGTGTGTTAATGGTGTTCACGAAGCCCGCTGTGCACTGAACGGCAGGTTTATGAATCTATAAATGTCAGAATTATTCATCTAAAGGCCACTTATGTTTCACCGCACCATCGCAGCGCCACGTCTCTGTGTGTGTGTGTGTGTCAGTACTCAGGCCCTTTCCTGTAGTGCTCGTCCCTGAGGTTATAGGATTGGTAGCAGATGGACATGTCACACACTCCGCTCGGCCCCTGAGGGCCCGCTTTCCCTGGAGCGCCCGGAGTCCCGGATTTCCCCGTTATTCCCGGCGGACCCGGAGCGCCGATGCCGTCAGTGCCGCGAGGACCCTGGATCCCTGCGGAGGACGACACACACACACACACGAGTCACTCCCATACACTCCTGTCCATCAGTGCCGGAGTTTCTCATTAAACAGGACAATATGATTCAAACTATTTAACTAATAGAAATAACCAACTGACTGATTGCCTTAGAAATTGCAAACATTTTTTTTTTGTATGACAAGTTTTATGAATAATGTTTGTATTATCTAATTATTTCATTTCATTTAATGCAACAACTGTTGCCCAAAGTAACTAAAAACATTCATTAAAATCCACTAATTTGCAAACATTTCCAGTGTCTAGTCTAGTGTCAACAAGCACATTCCCATCATGCTCCAGGAATACAGTAATATATAGATGAGTGATATATCAGCGCGCTAAGGACACTCTAAAGGTATAACTTAACTATAATCACTTTGCATTTATTAGGATTAATGGGATATTATAAAAAATAATCCGAGCCTACATGCAACAATTACGGGCCATTACAGTGCTGTATCCTCGATCAACGCTGATGAACTATTGCTCTCGTAAACACTTCTGATACAAGTGTGTCGTGCGTACGGTGCGCGGCAGGGGCCAAACAGGATATAAACATCGACGTTTGAAGTGATCTCTTCATGTGAACTCATTCGGACGGCGATTAAATCACAGACTAACTCTGTACATGTTCAAAACACCGAACGAGTTGAAAACATGAAAACACTCGATTAGACTAATTGAACACTGTGTGTATTATATATAGTCGTAAAGTGAGTTGTAAAGATGTTTTAGAATACGGTTCCTTCGTTAATGAAAAACGCAAGAACCAATGAGAACACACTATTAACAATATGGTAACTATTATTAACTAACAAGAAACTCTGATTAACGAGTTAGTAAGAGATGAAAGTCCTTCATGCTTCTGTGGGAATTACTAATGATTTGATCCGTATTATAAAGTGAAGACCATGGGAACCAACCAGTGATGACTCATGTGTTCCTAGTCATGACTTGTGCAACAAAACTCAAAACTCATTTTGAGATTTTTTTGGTGAATAGTACACTTTTACAAATTTTCTTTAGAAGTATGATGTAACACTTGAGTCATGTATGGCAAGCCGTTTTAACGTTCAATCATTCGCAGGATATGAATTCTTGATATCGACAATTCATATGCTGGAAATGAATAAAAGTTAAAACTGCAAGAATTGATTTTTTGCTGTAATTAGCCAGGCTAATTACAGATATCAGCAATTAAATTGTTGATATCAAGAATCCATATTCTGCGAATGATTAAAAGTTAAAACGGCTTGCCATAGTCATGACTAGTTAGTTCTCATAATTCTTACAGTAGTTACTAATGAAATGTCAATAAAGTGTAGAGTCTTCTAATCATTCACAAGATATGCACACACACACACACACACACACACACATATATATATATATATATATATATATATATATATGAGCTAGGAGACATTTTGAGAGGTACGTTAAATAATATAATAACTGTATGGTATTTGGATGTCTGAAGACTCAGTACGGTGACTCGAGTGATTCAGTGCCGGCCAGAAAACAGGACAAGTGCGAGACCAATTATTAACAGCTTCCCCAAATCATGATATTCCATATTGATAATGTAAACACCTTGTGTACTGGTTTACAGCAGCAGTTCAGATGTTAATGTAGAGCTAGTCTTTTGTCCTGCATCAGTTTTGCGTGAATTATGAAAGTTTTTCAGTAGTTCTCTGGAAGCATTAAAAACTAGTAATTATTGATTAGTTAATAGTGAACTGCAACTTTCGTCTGTGCGCTTTTACTTACTAGTTCGTTAAAGAGTTTCTTGTAAGTTAATAATAGATACTAGATTACTAATATTGTGTTACTCATTGGTTCGAGTGTAGTTATCCATGAACGAAGGAGCAGTGATGATTTCTGAGTCTATCGCAAACAGATAAAGTGCGATAACTAACAGAGCATGCAATAAACATTTGTGAAATCCATAACTCAGAGTCTCCTGAAAACTGTAATGTGGACTCGTGCATTTGCTGGAAAGCATGTATTCTGAAAAGTGCTAATAATAAACATAACTCAATGTGTGTTTGTGGATGTGTTCTTTCCACTGCTCTGAAACAACATGTGATAAAAAGCCAAATAGCCCAAAATCTCAAAAATGAGTGTTTGCCTGCATGATTGTTTTATGATAATGATGTAATCGTGTGAGTGTACCGGTGTCTCCGGGGGGCCCTGGGTATCCCGGTCTGCTCTCTCCTTTAGTGCCCTTAAACCCCCGAGGGCCCGTGTCTCCTGGAACAGGGACAAACACATTATGCAATTAAAATACAAACCCAAAGCCAAAGTCATTTAGATGATTTGGACGTGTCGGTCACCTTTGACCCCTGGCGGCCCCTGTACCCCCGGGGGCCCTGGGTATCCTTGAGCCCCGTGTGTGCCGGGATAACCTGGAGCCCCGCTGGAGCCCTTCGGTCCTGGAGCCCCGGGGTGTCCTGGGGGCCCTTTAATGCTCTCGCAGGACTCACAGCGCTGAGGACCCATCGACTGCAGGAGCCGGGCCAGCTCGCCTGAGGAACACACACACACACACACACACACAGTGTGAGCACTTCTACTCTCAAGTGTTTAAAGTCGGCATCTATCTGTATTCAGATGCATTTATTGGACTGTGATTCATGTTTTGTTTAAAAAAAAAGAAAAGATTTGTCATAATTATGACATTAAAAGGTTGAAATTATGAGATTATGACATACTGAGGTGAAATTATGACTTAAAGTTATTATATGACATTAAAAATTCAAATAATAATAATAAAAAAACATTTAAAAGGTAAAAATTATGAATTTTATAGGGTTAGATTTAGGGATGCACCGATATGAACATTTTGGCCGATACCGATAACCGATAAATCTTTATGTCTGAAAGCCGATAACCGATATATCGGCCGATAAATCTAAATCCAATTTTTATATCATTTTTGAGATCCTGATTCCAAAAACCATTAAAATCCATTTCCCAATCACACAATTATAATGTTCTCATTATAATTTCACGTAGCCGATATGACAGCACATTTTGCACTTATATTTATATTTTCACTTATATATTTATATTTCACTTATATTTTCCTTTTTGATTCCAATCATATTTTAAGCCGGATCAATCATGTTGAACAGTGCTCATCTTAAGTGTCTCAGGTGTCAAGTGTTGAAGGAAATAATTCATTATTTATCAGTTTTAATATATCAGCCAAATTTCATTATCGGGCCGATAACGATAACATAAAAATAAACAAATATCGTCCCATACCGATATGGTGGCCGATATATCGTGCACCCCTGGTTAGATTTTGATCTCATAATTGTGACTTAGTATTTCATAATTTCAGCTATTTATGTCATAATTTTGACTTTTTCATTTTTGTCTGGATATGTTATAATGACTTTTTGCCAGTTAGGACTTTCTTCTCATGATTATGAATGTAAATCTCATAAAGACTTGGTATGTCATTGTTTTGTATAATTGTTTTTCCTTTATGCCAATATTTTGACTTTTTATTTCAAAATTATGTCTTACTATTTCAATTTTGATTTTTCATGTCATGACTTTGACATCATAATCATAGTTATGATTAATTATAACATAATTATGTCAATTTGAACTTTTTATGACTGGCTTGGTATGTGATCATTTCGACTGTTCATCTCATAATTATAGCATCATCATTTTGACTTATCTCATAATAATGACCAGTTGTACATCAGAATTAGGACTGGATTAGTATTTCATTATTTTGAATTTGTATCAGAATTATGAAGTCATAATTTAAAATTTTCAACCTCATCATTTTAACTTGCTTGGCATGTCATAATGTCGACTTTTTATCTCATAATTATGACTGCCCATATCATAATTATGATTTCCCAAAGCGCGGTTATTTCTTCCTCATGCTTGGAGTCTGTAAAAGAGTGATATAGCTCAGCGAGTTTCCGTAACAAAAGCTCTTTTCTAGTGAACTTTGCTTTAATCTAAGAGCTGTAATTGTGCATATTAGTGTGTGTGTGTGTGTGTGTGTGTGTGCGGCGGACAGAAGAGGACCTTGAGGAAGGGCAGATACTCACTCCTCAGGACGGCTCCACACAGTCTCATTAAACGCTCCTCTGACGGAGGCTTGCCCTGAAACACACACACACACTCATTAGACGGCGTCTGCATGTAACAGATCTGAACGCTCGCTGTGAGAGATGTAGGAACGCTCACAGGCTTCCCTGGAGATCCCGGAGCGCCGGGTTGTCCCGGAAAACCGTCCTGTCCCGGGAATCCTCTCGCTCCGATCACACCGGTGTGACCCGCGTCTCCCTTCGGCCCGTCGTGACCTCTGACCCCGGGCTCGCCCAATGAACCTTTCTGGGGGATTAATCACATGATCAGCACGTGTGTTACTTCCTGTCGTCGGCCATGTTGTGTAGTTCTTTGTAGTTTTCTCGCGTGTCGCTCTTGTTTCCTCATTCGCTGGTTCAGTCGTTTGGCGCTGTGTGTTTATAGGCCTCGTTTCACTCATTACTTCTGTTTAATGCATCGCTTTATTATGTCCTCGCGCCTGTGGAGCGATCTGCCTCTGTGTTCTGTAGTCTGGTCTTAAATCTAAGTTAAAAACTTTTTTTTTTTTGTTGGATTTGGCACATAATCAATGAGGAAGTTGTATTGCGTTGTGCTTTTTTATTAATTATATTGTATTGTCTTGTGTTTTTATTAATTATATTGTATTGTCTTGTGTTTTATTAATTATATTGTATTGTCTTGTATTTTTATTAATTATATTGGATTGTCTTGTGTTTTAATTAATTATATTGTATTGCACTTTTTTTATTAATCATATTGTATTGTCTTGTGTTTTTATAAATTTTATTGTGTTGTCTTGTGTTTTTATTAATTATATTGTATTGCGTTGTGCTTTTTTATTAATTATATTGTATTGTCTTGTGTTTTTATTGCGTAGCACATTGGTCAACCTAGGTTGTGATTAACAGTGCTTTATAAATAATATTGACATTGAGATGATCAACGTGTATATCAGCCTATAGCCACGCATTCCTGCATTTATATTAATGTTCTTCATGATTGAGTTATATATATCATACGTATATATCATTCAATTATGTATAGTTGAAATGCATTGCACTGATTTTAACAGGATCTCCAGTTCATATTCACATCATTTCTAATAAGGATTATCCTATATTTGACAATATAATCTGAATAAAAATAAATGAATACATGTTTTATTACTGTAGTATAATATACAGTATTATTTAGTAATAATTTAGTTTTAAAGTAAAATTGTTATGTGCTTCTTTTTATATATAATTTATATTTATATTTACACGTTTTTATCTAATGTTAATTTTACTTCGTATTTTTAATAGTTTTACAGAAAACACTTCTGGTTATTTAGCATTTTTAACTGCTATTAACTAATTTTTCACAGTATTTATTAATATTTCTTTATATTAGTTGGTAAAAATGCAACTCTTCATTGTTAGTGCATTTTGACTCATAATATTAACAGATAGAACATTATTACATTATTGACTTTAATGATGTATTAGTAAATGTTGAAATTGGCATTAGATTAATAAATGCTTAGAATAATTGTATTGTTCGTGTTCAATGCTAACGTAAACGCCCTGACGTACAGTCATTTCAGTTTTAGCACACATAAGCAACGCTGATTCTATTCCACAATGTTCAGGGAGACTGAAAAACAATCAGGGAACATGTTGTTGTTAAGCAGCAAAATGAAATGTTGAAGATTAAATCACAATCACAATATTTGTCCAGATAATCAGAGTCTAGTGTGCAGGAAACACAGGACGGAAATATTTAATAAACTCTCTGAAGAAACGGGATTTGCATATCCGTCTGGAAACTGATTTCCACAGGAACAGAATGATAAATGTATGAAATGTCTTTAGTTTCCACCGCGCTGACCTGAGGATGACCATCATAACTCTGGTATAAAATGTGAAGTGTGTAATTCTACAAACCTCTCCTTTGCTTCCCCGCGGCCCGACGTCACCCTGTTCAGAAACACAAACTTTAGGATCAAATCAGAGGATTTTAATCTTCACCGAATTAAAGAACAGTGTTTCCATAGTCTAATTCTATATTTAAGCACTGATAATATTAATCAACTACATGCACTGGCTATAGGGTTAGGATGAGTGTTTGGTTTAGGGATAATCGCATGTAATTATGCATGTTTATTACTACAGTATCAACAGTAATAATGACTCTGTAAAATAAAGCGCTTCTGCCTCTAAGTTCCTACAAGCAACAGTGCAGAAGCTCAAACACACACTGCTGACGCTTCATCTTCCAGAAACTCTATACTCATCTGTGGCTGAGTACTATTGCTCTGACTGTAGATATGAGTTTTATAATCAGTTCTATATTCCCTCTTAAATGTTGTATATTTGATGGAAACTTGACTGGAGCTCATCTGAAGATGTCTCGTGTTCTCCGACGTGGACGGTGTGTGAGTCAGTGTCTGCAGTTCCTGATGTTTTCCCAGGAATCAGGAGTACGGTCTGCCATCCTGGAATGATTCAACAGGAGGAACGTCTCCGAGTACTCGGAAGTGTGTGTTCACTCGTCACGCTTTCTGTGCTTCCCGAAACTAAAAGTTTAGCTTATTGTTTTCATTTTAATTTTGATTACATTGTATGAATCGCACAGCTCGATAACACACTGTCCCACTGGAATGTGAACATAAGTGAATATGTTCTATAAGTGAACAAGTTCTATAAGGTTCTATAAGTGAACTAGTTCTATAAGGTTCTATAAGTGAATACGTTCTATAAGTGAACAAGTTCTATAAGGTTCTATAAGTGAACTAGTTCTATAAGGTTCTATAAGTGAACAAGTTCTATAAGGTTCTATAAGTGAACAAGTTCTATAAGGTTCTATAAGTGAATATGTTCTATGAGTGAACAAGTTCTATAAGGTTCTATAAGTGAACAAGTTCTATAAGGTTCTATAAGTGAATATGTTCTATGAGTGAACAAGTTCTATAAGGTTCTATAAGTGAACAAGTTCTATAAGGTTCTATAAGTGAACAAGTTCTATAAGTGAATACGTTCTATAAGGTTCTATAAGTGAATACGTTCTATAAAGTTCTATAAGTGATTAAGTTCTATAAGGTTCTATAAGTGAATACGTTCTATAAGTTTCTATAAGTGAACAAGTTCTATAGCCTAAGGTTCTATAAGTGAATACGTTCTATAAGGTTCTATAAGTGAATACGTTCTATAAAGTTCTATAAGTGATTAAGTTCTATAAGGTTCTATAAGTGAATACGTTCTATAAGTTTCTATAAGTGAACAAGTTCTATAGCCTAAGGTTCTATAAGTGAATACGTTCTATAAGGTTCTATAAGTGAACAAGTTCTATTAGGTTCTATAAGTGAACAAGTTCTATAAATGAATACGTTCTATAAGGTTCTATAAGTGAACAAGTTCTCTAAGGTTCTATAAGTTTAGTGCAGGGCTTTAGAGCTGGCGCCCCCTGGAGGATGAAGGTGTTCCAACACTTACTGGAGAGCCAGGAGAGCCAGGAGAACCTCTGCTGCCCTTTTCCCCCTGTGAAGGAGAGCAGCCTGTGTTAGCGGGGTCTCCGTCTCTAAAAGGTTATATTAGTATTCACAATCAACGGGTGGTTCTTATAACCTTTACAAGACTCATCACGTCCCGTTTACTGACTGAGACTGAGCTAACCACACTCAGGGGGATGTTCCCTACGGAGATTATTACGCTAAAGTACACAAATTACACTGCAGCTGCAAGCTAAGATGTTAGCCTACTGTATTATAGTATATTTGATAAGCACAGTTTCAGGGCTTTTACATGATTAACTTTGCTGTCGCACTCGATCCAGTCCTTCTGTGTCCGACTGAGAGTTTCGACTCTTTTATCCAGTAAAGTCTGTTAGTATAACCGTACAAACGTCCTTCAGCTCGAGTCTTTCTGTGTCAATCTGACGTGACTTTATCAACGAAACATGAGAATAACTTTGATATTGTTCATAATATTTCAGCTGGACTGAAGCAACTTTACTTGATTATCCAGACATCATTGATTAGAGAAATCATGAGTATGAAATATGATCATAACACTTTACAATAAGGTTCATTAGTTAACATTAGTTAACTACATTAGTTAGCATGAACTAATAATGAATGAACTTCACTTATACAGCATTTATTAATCTTTGACAAAGTTAATTTTGAAATATTGTTAACATTAGATAATGCACTGTGATTTAACAATGAACAGCTGTATTTCTAATATTAACAAAGATTAACAAATACAGGAACAAATGTATTGCTCATTTGTTAGTTCATGTTAGTTAATACATTAACTAAAGTTAACTAATGAACCTTATTGTAAAGTGTTCATGTCAATCATCATTGCATTCTACAATATGTTTTAAAACTACAGAGCTTTGATCATCAAAATAAGCATTATAAGACATATTATTGGCAGATATTGATAGTGATAGGCATTTTATGTCAGTATCTGCCCTAACTTAACAGGGTTTTAAAGTGATAAAGTGAAACTTTTCCATCAAAAATTCCCACTAAATCTATTATTATGCTTTGAAAAAAAGAATCAAGGTTAAAGATTAATCTGAATTTTGAGTTGAAGCCAAAACCACAGCTTTGATAAAGCACAAACGCACTGTTTAAAGAGTGCAGGAACTGTGGAGGATCTTTACCTGAAGGCCTTTGGGTCCCGCTTGTCCTCTCTCTCCCTGAAACACAGAAACACAGCTCACTTCACTCTCTTCACTGTTGAACATGGATTAGAGACGTGTATATATTAGTGTGTATGAATATTTTGAGTCATTTTTTTAATGTTTCAGGTGCCTATGGGACAGTCAGGTGTGTTTCAGTTCATTAATAATCTTAATCTGGATGTTGCAGAAGAGAATTGCGAATCTGAGAATCTGATGCAACGGTCTAAATGTTACCTGTAACGGTTTTATGTTGTAATTTCTGACTATTGGCTGAAAAGTGACCTGGTTAAAGTGTAGTACCTCTAATAGCCATTTGAGGGCACTAGTGCATGGTGGCTGCTAGATATAAGCCTGGTAACCCATGCAGAAGTCAGTTCAGTTTGGTAGAGGGAACCACTGGGTTTTGCTCATCTCTTCACCATCACTTTAACTCCTCTAAGGACTGGACTTTTGTTTATATTATCCTCTCATTTACTAGTGATGGTGAAACGAAGCTTTCTGGAGCACTGAGGCTTTCCCCTCAAGTGTATCGTAAATCGGTTCATCACTCGAAGCTTTTCAACACGGTGCACACTAACGACATCTTGTGGTCAAAAGGTGGAAAAGCTACCTATCCCAATTTTTTTTTTTTTATTGTTTTATGTAATAAATCACTTTGTGCTATAAAAACCACAAAGCAATGATAAAAATCATTGATTTTTACACAATGGTAATATGAAAGAGTTTCACCGCACTCACGGCAAACAAGGTGCCAGACAGATAACACTTGACAACCCAAAAAATAAGACCACACGTAGTTTGAACGTGTAGTTCTACTACGTGTAACTAGTTTGAAACTAAGTGTATTTGTGTATACTTTTTATGTCTGTTTCTTGTAGTGTTTTTCACTAAGGGTTGATCACCTTAAAAAACTACAACTCCCACCAGTGGACTACAACTGTCCCTACCTGGCCTCTGCAGGTGTGGGTTATCACTGTTGATTGTCCTGGTGTAGTTGAACACAGTCAAATGGAGCGTAACTGTGTTTGTGTATGCCCTGAGGATGGTTGTATTACCGAAAGCTTAGCATTGCACAATGGCATGAACAAAATGAGTCTATGAATTAATTTATGAAATAATACATAGGACAAATTAAATCTGTTCAACAATGCAGCCTTAAACTTTAGCCGTAGTCCTACACCTTATGAGTTCATAGGCAAGGCTCATATAGACATATCAAAATAAAATAAAACTTTTGTGGAATAGTGAAGTGCTGGGTAGTGAAAGTGCTTGTGAACTGTGAATCTCAGTCGGTCTCAATTCACTACCGAAGCACATGACACTCAAAACCAGCGCACAAATATCTTTAAATCAGAATATGAAGCAGTCAGGTGGTTGTGTGTTGAAACGAAGCACGAAACACTGATCACATGGTTATGGCAAAATGAATCAAGCTCCGGTACACTGCTTCACGTGAGATGCTTCGTTTCTTTTTATGCCGAACGTCACATCACTATCATTCACACAGAGACAAAGACTGTTGGTTTCCTTGTGTTAGTTTTTGTTAGGGTCAATTATGTGCACATGTGAAATATCATAGGAAATTTAATATTTGTTGAGTGAAGTGGTTCTGTTTCAGTACCAGTCGAAATTTCTGTTGAACCTCCTCAGGGTAACTGATCCTAGACCTGTCGAGAGTGTCATGAGATGACTAAGTTCAAGACTTGATTATAGCTCTAGTTTAGTTAATTAATACTTTTATTCGTCAACTGGTTTCAACACTGATATTAATCATGTTTGTTGATCATCATATCCTCATATTAGAGTGATTTGACACTGAAGACTGGAGTAATGATGAAACCGGACCAACCCCGAGCCTTTGAGCGCTATAGAGCATGTGGAGGTTTGGGGCCTCATTTATAAACGTTGCGTACGCACAAAAGAAGGCGTACGCCGCTCTCTACGCAATAGTTGGTATTTATAAAAAGCAAACTTGACAGTAAAATGTGCGGTCCTTCACGCAAGCTCTGACCCAGGCGTACGCACAAAAACGGGTGAAATGAGAAATGGCGACACCGTCGGCAGTTGGAAAAAACACGTGAAAGTGTGTGAAACTGTAGACGGTTGTGTAAAATAAATTGCAATACGCCTCTCATAAATAACACGAATACTTCACAAAGCAAGTCTTAACAGCTTACAATTAACATCCTACACGAACACCCGTTTGATCGATCTGTAACAGAAATGCAAATAACATATTTCCAAAAAGAAAGTGAAATATTTTCTGCTATAATATTGCTATGCAATTCATCCTCATAAATAAGATGGTAAACAGAACGAAATAATGTACAAAACTAATATTATCGCCAATATGTCCATCTAACGGAGCAGATATAGCAATTAGATAGATAATTAGGGAGATATATAGATAGATCGATAAATATTATTTGTCCACTGGGAAAAGTTCATGTTTTCATAGTAAAAATGTCTTCATAATCTACGGAATCATGGTATATGCATTTAGTTTGTTTTATTTTTGATACAATAACGTATGACGTGTCTCAACCATTCAGAAAGCTGCAAGAAATTACATTTGCTCTGAACTATTTCCCATTTCCAAGTAGATTATAACCGACATCCGTAGCTTGTCAGATGCAGAATTAAATGGATGGAAATAAAATGCGTAATGACGCACAATGGCTGATATTGAGCTCTTAGAAGATGTGGCGATTAAATGGAAGGATTCGGAGTGAACGCATCATCTTCACAACAAAATTATTTATTCAAGAATTATGCAGTTTATTATGCAGTTTATTTTATTTAGGACAGTCTTGATTTCGCCCAACTCCTTGGCCACCTCTTGAATTAATGACTAGACGCTTTTTTACTCGACTTTGATGTCCGACTATTTCTTTTTTTTATTTCGGCCACAGTCCGAGGTTGTGAGGCTACAGCATTTACGGCGTCTGCAACCTTTTGCCACTCAAGTGCCTTTTTGGCATTAGTAATGCCCACACTGTGCCCTCCAAACAACATTTTTCTCCTCTTTTCCACCTTGCCAACGTTAACTTCTACTTCACATTGAGTGAAGTTACATTTTTTTTTTATTTCCTCTCTGTGTTTAACATGATTTCGCAATTCATGAATATTAACTTTTGGGCGTTTCACGGACTATTTATGGGCAACTATGGGCGTGGCATGAAGCCACAAAAGCTGCGCTACATTTAGAACTGATTGTGATTTATGAAGGGAAACATGCGTAGGATGTTTTATAAATCCGAATATTTCTGTGCGTACGCACGTCCTATGTTTCATCCGTACGCCACTTCTGACGCAAATCCTACGCAAAGTTTTATAAATGAGGCCCTTGGTCTTTACCTCGAGTCCTTTATATCCATGAAGGCCCATGGCTCCGGGAACTCCTGGAGGCCCCGCCTCGCCCCGCTCACCCTGTGAGAAATAGTAATAAAAAGTAGATAGATAAAGAGCACATGATATAAGAGTATAAATGAAAAATATACGATATTTACATTATTAGAGAATTGTTATGGTGAAATACGTAAATAGCAGCAAGGAATATTAGCACATTAATTATAAACATAATTAAATGTTGCACAAAAACAGAAATATTGTCAGTTTAAAAATGAACTAAGTGTCGGTGAGTCACGTAACACCAGGTAGCTTTTCAACCTTCATAATATATTTCCAAGTCTCTGATGAAGACTTGGTACATCTGCTTACAATAGGTTGAATGAGACGTCTGCCATAGCCTGATGGAGTCTGTAGCGTTTTTAATCGTACTTTTAAACTTCGGGTTTCGGGTAGTAACCCGGCGAACAAAGAGAACTACAATATTCGACTGCTTGACGGCACATACGTCACTTCCACCACCACCCTCACTTCCTTAACGTCGGAGGTGCGAGCCAAATGTTATAGTCATGGCCGAAGCAGCACAGAAAAACAAGAAAGCAAAGGTTGTATCGGAGCAAAGCAAAAAGAGAAAAAGAGAAAGTGCAGAACGAGGATCAACATTGGGTCAGCGTTTCCTCGCGTGAACTTTTGGACTAGTAAGTACGTTATATTGCTTGCATACTTTCTCTTTGTTTTTTTGTCTTACTATGTTACGGAAGCTCTCTTATCCTCCGTTTATCTTCAAAATAAAGTTAACTGGTGTTTTAACTTCTAAACGGCGTGTACAAGTTTGGTAGGGGCTAGATTCCTGCAAGGAAATAAATAAGATGTACAAAATCGTATTTTAGAATATCTAACATGTCTGTGATATTCGTTTATTTTTCTTGCCTCAAGCTATAATGCAAATCGTTTTGTAAAATTTGCGGATTCGTTTATGGTAGCTTGATATTATAATATTGACGATATTTGGTTATTATCTACCACATTGCATTGAAGCATCATATACAGTAGATTCAGTAAAACGGTAACAATAGACTAGGCTACTTTAATGACGCTGGCTTGTAAACGTGAGCATCGCGATCATTTGTCGTTTAAAAAAAAAATAAAACCCATGAAATGATATTCATATGACATGCTGAAATTTATGCCACTGTACCTGGAATGAAGACATTTCACACGCGACGCAAGCAGAACACCTGCATGACCTCCTCTGACAGTGTTCAGGGCTATCATGGTTGTCAACAAATGCGCGTGCATGTAGGATGACAGAGTTTACGACAGCAGTAGAGGACAATACTGTGTCCCAACTGTAGGGGGACCCCGAGAGCAAAAACTACCTAGTAAGCAGATTGATGGCCTTAGGAAGAGATGACTGTGGTGCTCTGGTGCATTATGGGAGAATAAGTCTTGCACCGAGAGCACTCCTGTGTTTGAGAGGCCCGTTACGGAGTGGATGTCCAAGATCACATGTAGTTCGGACAACATCCTCGTCTCTGAGAGTCGAGCTCAATCCCCACAGCGTCATTCCAGACGAAAGTGTGAGCGCATCTGGTTGTTGAAACCACATATGTACATTTTGCTCCTCTCAGAAATGCTAAAAAATAAAGTGTCGAGCGTGTTCTAGGCTATATGTGATGTTATCAGCATCACTGCAGATGAGCATCTATTCATCAGACATGATCTTACCAGGACTGCTACCGCTCGCTCTTACTGCGGTCTTTGATGATGATTTTAGCTGATGATCAATAAAATGCAGTTCATATCTGTAGCTTTCGCTGACGCGACCATATAGCGCGGGAACTGAAGATCGGATTTATATCCGTTTTGCAAAAACACATTTATGTGCACGGGTGTAAAAGGAATCGTTTTGATAAATCAGATCGCTATCCGATCTGAGAAACGCATGAAGTGACCAGGTGTAAACAGTGCCTTAGCGTGTGCTATCCCAGCATGCAACAGGACAGCACTGGCCACCACACACTCATAAGCGTCCTCAGCATGTGTGTATGTGCTAACAGGCTAACGGCTAACAGCACGATTGCACGACTAAATGCAGAACTTCGAAGACTCTTACCTTTTGACCGTCTGTACCAGGATCACCAGCAATGCCTTTTTCTCCCACTCCACCCTGAACACACACACACACACACACACACACACACACACAACACAAGAGGATCTCAAGCAGTTTCTCCATTATAACTCCGCTAGAAGAAGCCGTTTGTTTCCAGATAACAAGCCCAGTAATCACTGTAAATATTAAAGAAATTTGTGCTACAGAATGACTCTCCAGAATCCATTAGATAAGCGCACACAATTCCAGCAACGGAATAAAGGTAATCTCAGCGTGGCTATTCCCACCGGATTCAAGCTCAGGTATTAGCATAATTGCTAGCGGTGATGTTAGTATCGTACAAACCTTGTGTCCGTGGGGTCCGAGTGCTCCAGGAGGCCCTGACGGCCCCGGCGCGCCCTGCAGGGTTTAATCACACACACACACACACACAGAGTGACTGATAATAACACATGACCTCACTCACCCTGCAAACACCGTTCAGCACAACGCCAGAAGAGATTGGGAAACGAGCTAACTCAAGCTAAAGAGAGCAATCAGAAACTGCAGGAATAAATGACTGTGGAAACAAACAGATAAAAGTTTTACTCGATGAACTTACTTGCATTGGAAAACTTCTCAGAGTAATTAGTTAAGGTCTGCACAACATTCAACAAATCATGTTTTGTTGAGCCAACTTAATACATTTAAGTTCCTGTGTCCCACTAACCAGTGTTGTCGTTATCTGACTAATCCCGCGTCCCAATTCACACACTATCCGTCCTGGTCGTATTATGAGGAAATTAGTGTTCGAACATGCGGATCTGTGCTCAGCGGCTAATATTACCCACAACCCACTGCGAGTTGGACGAGGATTCGATCAGAACACACAAGCACGAATAAAACATGTTTATGTGCGAGACCTCAAAAATGACACTTCATTTCAATTAAATGAATATAGGCTACTATATTTTAGTTTGATAATGTTTTTTATTTAATATTTTGGTATTTCGAAGGGATTTTATCGTATTGAATTATATTTATGAAATAGTTATAATCAGTTTATTACCTGTTTATCGCTTTTTGAGCATTGACCTGAAAATGAAATGTCCATCTTAAAGTGTCGTGAATCTTGAACGCTTTAAAGCACGACCGAACTTCAGAAGACTTGCCAGATCAAAAAGTGAACTTAAACAAAAAACATTAATAGACATTTATTATATACGTTATATAGACCTTTAAGTTTATTCTGAATTTTTTTTTCTAAACATGTTTTATTTCTAAAGCCATAAATCTGAGCTTTCTGTGCGTGCGTGTGTGTGTGTGTGTGGCCGCAGTACCAAACGCTTCCACTAGAGGAAACTCGTCTCTAATGCGTTTAGGATCATTTAACCTTTCCAATCATCTCCATGATTTTGTTTAGTATTCACAAAGCAAGAGCCAAAACCTTTACGTTTCGTACCGTTCGATGAAGTCAAAAAATTCAAAAAACTAAAACGTAATGTTTTTAGGTTAAGAATGATCAAACCGCAGAGAGGGTTCGGTGAAGGGGTTTGAGCGATTAATCAATATCTAACCTGACGAAAATATATTTATTCAATGTTATCCACTATTATATTTCATCTTTTGAACGCATCTTTAATCAAACACATGAGGAGAGTCTGTCATCACGCGACATCTGATTGGCTTTCATTTTTCCAGATCTATAACTATACTTTAAAACAGTCTGATTGCTTATTCAGGTTTGCGTTATGTTTTGAACTTTAACATTATGAAAGAAGTATGAAAAAAACGGTATATGTGTGTGTGTGTGTGTGTGTGTGTGTGTGTGTGTCTATAAGAGAGAAAATATTTCATAGAAATTTAATGATGTCTTAATTTAATGTATTTCTATGCCAAAGCAATGATGATCCTCAGCTCAGCTCACACACACACTGATGCCGTGTTCACGAGTGTGTGTGTGTGTGTGTGTGTGTAGAGTTCTGAAAAACTGACCCGAGTATTGAGAAATGTGTCCTAGTGAAACTGTAATGACCCCTCAAACACCACTAGATGGCAGCAGCGTTTACTCAGTCGAGTGTGTGTGTGTGTGTGTGTGTCCATAAGAGGTCACTCTAACACGGTTTACTCTGAAACACTGATCGCTGCTTGACCTCTGACCCCTGGTCCCGCTCCTGATCTGATGAGCCGCCGTCTGGGACACGATACAATCCATTTTCTCTGAAGTGTGCACTTTCACCGGGTCAGTGTGACCAATGAGGGGCTAAAGAGGTAATCCTGATGCATTGTGGGACGTTTACTCACCGGAGGTCCTCTCGGTCCGGGCGAGCCTTTCTGGCCAACGGCTCCTCCTGCGCCCTACACCCCCCACACACACATCATTAAAAATGGGAGAATTTCACAAAACCTGTCAAAGACAGATTACATTACAAAATCACAAGAATAATTTTTTGCATGACTTCATTTATTTTGGCGCCATTAATATGTTTCACATTGTGGCCTTATGAAACATAAATACATTCATTAATATTATTACACTTTACAATAAGGTTTCATTTGTTAACATTAGTATTATTATTAACTAACGAGCAATGTATTAATCACAATATTTATTTATTCTGAGAACGCACACACACACATACGCACAAACACACACCTTGAAGGGGTTTATTCATTTATTTATTCTGTTAGAGAATTAAATAGTTATAATGAATTTCGTTCTTCTTTTAAAACGTGGCTTTTTAGCATGCAAATATGTCAACATTGATTTTTATTTTATTGTTTTTTTTTTGTTTTTTTGTTTTTTTGTGTGTGTTCGTTTGGGTTTGTTATGTTTTAATTATATTTGTTGTATTTACATTGTATTTTTAGGTTGCCTATTTACATCTGGCCCAGGACGGCAGATGAAAACAAGACTTATCATGTTAATATGCACTGTCCTTGTAATAAATAAACAAGATTAACTATTCTGAGATCACATTTTTAATTGATTGATTGATGTGAGTTGTGATGTGTGTGTGTGTGTGTTCATACCTGCGGTCCGATCGCTCCTGCTTCACCGGGTAACCCACGGATTCCCTTAACAAAACAAGATCCGTCAGAGACATACTTCATGTCCTTGTGTTTCACACACACACACACACACACACACACACCCAAAACACTTCCATCCTTCATGATGTCACTGTTATTACAGCATTACCAGGATGCCACTCCATTAATCGTGCGCTGTGGGAAAGCGATTGCTGTAACGGTGGAAGAGGACACAGTCGACTCTCTGACAGTCACACATATTCAGTGTCGCCCCCTAAAACACTTTAATTGAGAAGATCCATTAATCTTCCTCCATCGAGGCTCCGGTGAGAGTCAGTGATGCTCCTCACATTAGAAAAACAAAAACCCCACCGTGGATATTTCCCTCAAAACTCTGACTATCATGCTCTTTCTCCAAGATTACTGTAAAATCACGTCTGATGATGTTTTTACTCCTCTAAAAGGCACGTTTAATATCTCAAAATATATCATGTTTGAGTTTAACTAGTATGTGACTTGGTAAATTACTTGGTAAATTAAATAAATTAGGCAACACTTTATTTTACGACCCGCAAACAACTGTGTAAGTACACTGAAATTACGGTGTACGTTTCTGTAATTATAGTGTACTTCCGTGTAAGTATAAGGGAACAATATGTTAAGTTTGGGGTAATAAAGGGGTAACAAGCAGATATACAAGCAAATTATTTAATTAGTTAAAAAAAAATAACAACAGGTACCTATTCTGTTAATATATTCCAGGCAAAAATTGTATGTCTGTTGTTTATAAAGTGTATCACATTTCTGGCCAAATATGTTCTTGTGCAATGTTACAGGGTAATTTTGACATCTGTGGGTTATATATATATATATATATATATATACTATGATAAAAATTAAATTTATTTGCTTTTCTTACTAGATTACTTAATGTTAAGTCAAAATAATTTGTTTGTGCTATGATTTTAATTTAGACCTTACCATGTGGTAATTAGTATGGTCCTTATCCCATTGAATTGCAATAACACTCAAATGTAAGTGCAAATATACTGTGTAATTAAAACGATTTTTTTTATAACAGTACCTTTCTCTGCAATTAAAGTGCAAATAGTGATGTTTCATATTGCTACATAGTAAGTTGCTTTGTTACCCCCTTGTTCTGCGTAAAAAATTCTCCAGTAATTAGAATATAATAAGAATCATAAATAATATGAATTGAGAATTAGCAAAAAAGTAGTTTTTTCACAGATGAGTTCTTTACTCCAAGAATGAAATACGAGAGCCTCTTCCTTCCTGCCACAAACTCAATAACAACGTCACGAAATACCCTGATGAGGAGCTAGAAGAGGAAATGCCGCTTTTCTTTCACTAGAAAACACTCATGCAACACACTGGGCTTTAGTTTCAGCGGGTCCCGCATCACAGCGGCTTCACAACATTCATCTGTTTTTCAGCACCTGCGGATGTTTGTGTTCACAAAAATAAATCATCTGTTGTAGTTTCATAACAGGCTAATGAACAGTGTGGAGGAAACCTCAAGGTCCACGTCTGATTCAATCTCCCCAAGAAAGGCCATAGTCACACAGCTTTGAAATGGAGATTCCTGCACATTATCTTATTTCATAGTGAGCGGCCTCTGCGTTTCACTCAAAGGCTCTTCTCTGAGGCCATCGCAGGTTTAAGAGGAAACACTGCAGAAGTGTAAGAGTACAGGAAGGAGAGCGAGACTGTTATAATGTAATTACCTGCAAGATGAAAGGTGTCACTCACGACTACAACCATGAGTCAGGTGTTCATTTTCCAGGTAGAGATGGAATGATTAGTAGCAGAAAATGACTTATTAGCAAATCAAAGCAATGCTTTCAAGTGCAAAGCCAAATAGTCCAAATATACAGTGTTGTAGTACTCGAGACTCGGACTCGTCTCGGACTCGGTCTCGAGACCATATTTTAATGGTCTTGGTCTTGTCATGGACTCGTGTCCATTTGGACTCGGAATTGACTCGTACTCGAACATTTTTTTTTTTAGGACTCGGAATTATTCCCGAGTCCACTCGAGTTCAATTAAAAATATTTTTCATGATTATTAATGTATGTTAATAAAATATTTCTTTAAATCGATTGACACGCCCAGTGATTGGTGATTTTCTAGTGCGCAACTGCGCATGACAAATTGTAATAAAATTACTTTTAACACCACCTACTATGTGGCCTTTTTACCCTAAACTGATCATATTTTTTAAACTCTAAGTAAATTCAGTAAAAAAAAAAAGGATTTCTCTAAGTAAATAAAAGTAAATTAGGTAATCAACCCTCACTGGTCTCAGTCTCGACTCGGACTCGACCGTCTCTGGTCTCGGACTCGACTCTCTATGGACTCGGTCTTGACTCGGACTCGACTCTCTATGGACTCGGTGTCGACTCGGACTCGACTCTCTATGGACTCGGTGTCGACTCGGACTCGACTCTCTATGGACTCGGTGTCGACTCGGACTCGACTCTCTATGGACTCGGTCTTGACTCGGACTCGACTCTCTATGGTCTCGGTCTCGACTCGGACTCGACCGTCTCTGGTCTCGGACTCGACTCTCTATGGACTCGGTGTCGACTCGGACTCGACTCTCTATGGACTCGGTGTCGACTCGGACTCGACTCTCTATGGACTCGGTGTCGACTCGGACTCGAGTGAGGTGGTCTCGACTACAACACTGCAAATATAACTGACGGATTCAGCTCATTACTGGCACAGGATAATCATTATTTAGAAAACAAATGAGTAAACCCATATAGAGGATTGAGGACGCGTCAGGCATTGAGTGGGAGCAGTGCTTCATTCAGTGCTTTATTAAATGTTTGGGCGACATTAACAAGCAAACCAGGCTTTGTATATTTCTGTGCTCTGCTGCCACTTTCAATAATCCACTGGGGCTGGATGTTCATTTGACACGCAATTATTTAATCTCCACTGGATGTATGGACTAGATCAAATATAAAATCCATTTTTCTCTCATTTAAGTAGACAAACAAAGCTAATGGTAATTGATTACAGATGTAAAGCTGCCCACATCTGAGTAAGAAACTATAGTGAGAGGGTTCTGTGCTAAACAGCCACAGACTCAAATAAAAGAAATGCTTTTTTTCTGTCAAATGAACAGGATGTTTTGACATGCCAACACTTGGCTGTTGTAGATGTGGAGATTGATGGGAATGTCAGATTCTTCATGCTGGCTCTGTAAACACTGCGGTGGATGCAGGGCTTCACACACACTCATTTAGTCTCAGGGTATATACCGTTTTTACAATCAAATTTGAGGCTTTAAATATAATATCATATAATGTGCGGGTTTAGCAACTCTATAGTGATATAATCCAAGTTCAAACAATACTGGTTTTGATCAAAAATTAATTAATTAATTTACTAATAATAAATGACATTTTAGCCTTTAAACTATTTTGTTAAGGGCAAAATGTAAAATCATTATATTTTTATATTAATTTAAAACATGTTATTATCTTATTATGTTTCGATTTTCAAGAATACACATTCGCTTCTTTTCAATCCACCGGCTGAATGAAAATGCAATTTCACTCTCTGAGAAATTCGGGAAGATGAGAAACGCAGCTGCGCTTTTTAGAAATGGGGCACCATTAAAAACACCATAAATTTAACATTGTCATAATTGAAAGCCTGTAGAAGATGCAACAGCTCCACGTTTTTACTGTAAAAACATACAGGGCTTATATATAAGTCATTAAATCATCGCCACTTGAAGTTTAATAACCCCATTAAGCCATATCGCCATTCCTGTACCCAAATTTAAGACCTCTTGAAATAATAATTAAGTCTATTCTTATATAATTTATGACCTTAAATTTGATACAGATGAATTTAGGACTTTTTAAGGACCCTGTTACTTTAAGGAATCACCTAAAATAATTATGAAAGGATTCAGTCAGCATGTGCTGAGGATTGTTTGGTTGGATTAAAAATATGGCATTGAACTGCATTTGAATACATGTGACAGATATTTCACAAAAGCAGCGACTCACTGGAAGGCCTTGCGGTCCATCTGCGCCCGACGGCCCGACGTCTCCTCTCTCCCCCTGAGGAACACAGCAGATTTGCGGATCAACAATTCATCTTTCAGATCTGAAACACTTTAACTGTGGTGCTCCACTTTAAAGGTGAAAAACCAGCTTGAAAGCACTCTCAGAAAAAAAGTGAATTCTCCATGAAGGGTTTAAACGAGAAGGGGATTAGATTCAGACTTGAATGGAGTGTATGTCTGTATATTTGTTTGTTGTCTTGCAGAGTGCCAGATCTCAATGGACACATAAAACAGAGCCTTGTTTTGCCAAACAACCGGCAATGCTGTAATTGCAACGATTTATTCTCCATAACATCTTATGTCTGTCTTTTATGTTTTCTTACTGCTTCGTTCTAATAGGATACACTACTAAGATGCATAAATGAAAAACACATCTGATATATGTAATTGAGAAGTAAAACTGTGCAGCAGGACAGGACGCATATCGCCTTGCCAAACAAAAAATGTTTTTTTTTCACAAAATAACCCAATTCACAGTTTTATGTGAACGATTACGAGGATGATTTTCAGATCATTGTGAAGAAAAAACTCTAGGCCACAACATCCATTAGTCAAAAGCCTTGTGGACGCATATTTCCTATATGTTTTGTGGCCTTATTTCAGAAACTTTCATTTTTAGTTTTTTCAATAACCACGCATAAACAATATTCTCTCAAAAATACAAACATGTACATGTTGATCACATATTATGGTAGCCCTGTTTGTGCTAAATAGAGTGTAATTTCACCTGAGCCATTAATATGTTTATAAGCAACTTAAAAAAGTACAAATGTCAGGGCATGTCAGAACATCTCAAGGACCCCAAATACAGTACATTTCAGACCCCATGCAGGGGGTTAAGCATAATCGGGTTTCACAGACGGCTTAGATTGAGCCAGGATTGGGCCTTATAGTTCAATTACAACATTTAAAGGTCCTATATGTAACTTTTTTTTATAAAATGAATCCTTTTTTTATTGCCTGTGTTTGAAGGGGTTGTAGTCACACATTGCAATGATCCACTTTTTGGGTTTTGCTATTACCTCTGAAGGCCAATATTCATATTTATATGTGAGGTCTCCGGGTCGGATTCCCTGCGAAATCCTTCGGATGTGACGTGCATGCGCGCTCCCGAGCCTCTCTATCCTTATATACAGTCTATCTATGTAATCAACAGCACTTCAGCTGACGAGTCTGATAGCAGCCCAAAACGTCCTGCCCTCCAGCACAACACACACTCCACATAAATATAAAAAACAAACAAAAAAAGTTTTATCTGCTGAAGCTCGTCAGACAAAACGTGAATCTGATCGACTCCGGACGAAAACGCGGATCAACATCGGCAACATATTAGTACAACATATTAGTAAACTAGTGAAATAGCAAGGTAAAACTACATGAGACATTAAATGAATACAAAAGACTTCGGCTTTGTGGAGCGGTCTGAAAGGCCGGGAGAAAGAGAAACTTCAGGACACATAAAAACATCCAAGCAAGCAAACCTTTCATTAGAAGAGCCGTGAGAATGTAAGAGAACACATGATTGTGGACTGTGGTGACCTGGAGCTGGACCCACTCACTACTGCGACTCTGGCCAGACATCTGGAGGTGTGTTAACATAAAACATGGTCTGTGGTGAGCAAACATTCAGAGAGTTTGTGGAAGACACGTCTCAGACGTCCCTCTGATGATGGATGAGCGCTTTCACGTGTTTGTGCTATAGATGTTTCTGATATTGAGGTATCACTCATGTTAAACCTGGACGCATTGGAAAAACATGCATGTGCAAATGCTATTGCATCCCTTCTTTCTGCTAATTGGAGCTGAAAAAATGAATAACACACACTGTAAACCGTGATTTTAACGGTAAAATACTGTAAAAATGCTACAGTGCAAAACTGTGGTAAACAGAAAGTTTCCGTACTATACACGGTAAATAACTGTGATATAATTTTACAGTAAAATACTGTTAAATTTACCGTTTTTGAAAGTGAAAAAGAACAAATCATTGTATAATTTACAGTGAAAAACCGTAAATTGACATTCCCACAATTCCCTGTGTGACACTTCACATTTTATGTATTTTTGTTGAAATAACTATGGTTCCTCATAGTTTTATAGTTTTTTTTTAATCAGTTATGTACATTAGGGTTATATGTTACATTTAATGTTGTTAAATTAAGGTTTATTGCATTTTTTTAATTTCATGTGTGTTACCATGATGGTGCTTAATGTTTGTGTGAATGACATTGTGCAGCTTCTTTAATTAAGTATTGCTCATGTAACTCATCACTGCTGTGATGATTGTTGGTTGTTACAATAGTCTAAAACAGATACATCAATAAGTTGGTAAATCCACATTTTATCAGAAAATAGATTATGTTTTTTTACTGTAAATTTTAAGTTAAGTCTGTAAAACCAATAACGTTCCTACCGTATTTTTAACGGTAAAGTTATTTTTTACAGTGCAGTTTCCCCTTAGTCTTATTGAAACAATAAGTGCAACCACATATATATAAATGCAATAATTATATCATAATGCTGGATCTCATGGTGGAGGAGGTGAGAGAGTAGGGCTGGACTTTAAGGATCGTGTGTCGAATGCAGAATTACAGTCTCAGAACTGCCGGTTTTTATATAATTGTCCACATTCTCACAGCGTTTCTGGACTAAATTGATTCAGACATATAATTTCAGGTGTATGATGTGCCAGAAACATAAAAGAAGTTACTACTTGAAAACCGTGTTGTTTGAAAACATCACTTATATGTGTGGATGTGGTCACATACTCACAGTAAAATGAGTTTCTGTGCAACTCTTGCAGGACTTCCAGCACATGCTGCTTTACATCTGAATATTACTGATAAATCATCATACGTCTATATTTTCATCAGCATTTGATATTTACAGAATGTTTGAAAAGTGGACATCTCTGATTCATGCATTTATAAAGCATTATTGTGTTGACTTCTCTTCGCCAGTCGGACCGAGTAAAGTGAACACACAGCTAAAACTATATATATATATATATATATCTTCTTTTTTTTGACTGAACCAACTGTTTGCATTTTTACTTATGCTTATTAAAAAGGTGTTTAGATATGTCTGGAAAGTGTTGTTTCTGGGAAAACAAGACAAAAGTACTAATTAAGAGAATTACTTTGTGCTGTGACAAAAGTCCTTCAGAATAAAGCCTGCGAGTGTGAGGGCTGTGGAAGTTAGGAACAGCACATAAACACGTGTGTTTGTTTACATATGTGTACATGTGTGTGTGTGTGTGTGTGTGTGTGTGTGTTTATGTGTGCAAATGTATTTGTGTGTGTGTGATCTGATTCCGAGAGCTCCTAAGCACTGGAGCCGTACGGCCACATGAAGGCGCGGCGCGGCTGTTATCTCCGTCTCTGCGGCGCGGGCCCTCGGGGGCCGACGGCTTCATGTGCAGCTGTGGGGATCTGTGGGCTTTTAATAGCCATGAAATCCAGAACAGGGAGGTTTTGACCCAGTTTGGGGTTATGTTGGGACTGATTCTGCTGGAGTTAGGAGCTTGTTTTAAAGAGTTACACCGCAGCATGAGTGTTAAAATAAAAACAGTGAGAAGTCCTCTGTTTGCAAGCCGAGAGTGTTGAACTTTACAGCGGCGGACCGTAAACTGAACCGCGACTGCACTCGATGCTGACTGCACATTAAACTGATGTTTTCTTTGAATGGTCTAATAAACAGTGATTTGCATATTTTTAAGAATTAATCAGGAGAGGAGTAACAGAAGTAGAGGAGTAAAGGGAGAAATGAAGGGTGAATGTATAAATTATATTTTTTTTATGTTCCCAAAACAAATTTAGAAGAAGAATATAGAGAAGGATTAGAAGCAAACTTGATAAATGCATGACAACAATATGTTGCAAGAACATTTTGCTAACATTTCCCATTCAATTATGAAAACATTATTTCTAATATTCCCTGAACGTTCAAAACATCGAGTTATTTAAACGTTTTAAAAACTTGTTTTTCCTGGTTATATGAACATTAAGGGAACTTACCACTTTATAATTTTGCAAAAGATTATGGGAATGTTTTGAATGTTCTCTGGAAGTCCTGAAACAAGCTGAAACATTTTAAAAACTGTAGACGAATGGGGATTTACGAAGGTTGGATTAAAAATGTTAATGTGACACTCACAAGAATAGGTCTTGCCCTCTCGTAATATTTGGAGCAATTTCCAAATAATGTCCATAATGTTGGCAAATCTTCAGCTGTCACTCTCTGTTCATCATTTAGACTTTTAGAAAGTGAGAAAACAAGTGTCTTGAGCGGTTCCCAATGATGGCATCATCTTCCTGAACATTTCCAGGATGAGCGAACAGAACGAACATTACTTCGTTTGTCAGCCCAGTGGAAACATGTGTTGACAGATTCAAGTGTTTTTAGCAATGATTTCCTTCGTGAAGGGCTGACAAAGTCCCATTCACAGCCGTGCCTGAGCAAACACGGCGTTACGGCACTACTGAACCTGTCCTTCAGCTGAAGCCAATGAAGCTGTTTCAGAGAGAGACCGTGAAGGAAGACTACAGTCCAACGTTTAGATCACAGCTGACTTTGAGTTGATCCGCTCGAAGCTCATCCTTAAAGTGTGTGTGTATTATATTATCTATGTTTAAAATGATTAAATAATATAATTTCATCTTAAATACATTCCATCATATAGAGTAAAAGAGTAAGAAAAGCTGTGTTATAGTTATTCTCTGAATGATAAAAGGTGTTTATTGTGAGAATGGCACCAGAAAGCCCTTATATGGAGATGTGTGGGCGTGTTTATGCAAATGACCAACGGCCGCTCATTTACAGTACTCAACAGTCACTAACACAGAGCGAGGTTAACAACAAATTGATGTGCGTTCGAAACTAGGCGCAGATTTGTCGTGAGAAGTTACGAGAATATACGAAATAAGCCACGCAGTTATTACTCATGCAGTCTCACTTCCTGTTACATGTAACAACGGAACTAATTTGCATAATGCCAGTCTAAGGTGTTGATTGGCTTAGCGGTGTCTCTTAGCCCCGCCCTCTAACGCTCTAGTTGTGTCTGAGACTGGAAGAGATCGGTTCGTGTGAGAACACACTGTTTTCTGCACTGCAAATATTTACATGGATCTCAAAGGACGAGGACTCACACTGGAAGCGATACGAGAACGCTGTCATTCATGTCCGTCAGACGGATGTGTGTCTTCAGTGATTACGAAGAGCGCGGAGGAACACAAGCTTCACACACAGATCTGCGGGTCATAGATGCTCAAACTTTATTTGCATCACTAGAACCGTCAGATTTAGAGCAGTACCTAATGTGATTAATTATTCAAAAACCATTAAAGCATTTAATCACGTCCTCTTACTCTTGAGTTGCTGGTTTAAATGTTTGGTTTTTGTGGCTTAACAACTGTGTTATTAATATTAGAAAGGGTCAGACTAATATTCTTAAATGTATTATTTAAATCGTGCCATTTTACAGATGTTACAGTTTGGTTTTTATGTTTCTATTTTATGTATTTATTCATTTTTTATCATTCAAAAAAGTTACATTTTGTGTACTCAACTGTTTTAAAGTTTTAGGGTTGTGAGATTTGTGTTGTTTTTGTCTCTTCTGCTTTTATTTGATCAAACATACTGTAAAAACAGTGAAATATTATTATAATGTAAATCCTCTGTTTTCTGTGAATATACAGTAAAGTGTAATTTATTCCTGTGATCAAAGCTGAATTTATCATCATTACTCCAGTCTTCAGGGTCACATGATCCTCCAGAAATCACTTTAATATGAGGATCTGATGCTCAACAAACATTTATGATTATTATCAGTGTTGAACACAGATGTGCCGCTTCATATTTCTGTAAAAAAACCGTCATAAATTTTATCTTTCATGATTCTCTGATGAATAGAAATTTAAAAGGAACAGAGTTTATTTAAAACTTTTGTCACATTATAAATGTCTTTACTGTCACTTTGGATCAATTTAATGCATCCTTGCTGAATAAAAATATTAGTATCTTTTTTGTTTTTTTACTTGCCTCAAACTTTTGATTGATAGTGTTTATTAAATATGCTTTGATGAAATGACTAATGGTCTCTTTAAAATGCCACAGCTTTGTAGACGCCATATTAGGTTTAGTGAATTACACGTTTGTGAAGAACATGTTCACCTCTTCTGTCTGCAGTGGGAGCTGGAAACCCAAATATACATCTCCTGTTTCCTACACATAATGATGATGATTTCAAGTCGTTTTGTCTAATTTGCAGGAGAAAGTCATTTGTCTTGCTTAATCAAGATTGCATCTGAGAAAACACTGTTCTGAAGTTCACTTCTAGAGGATGAAATGACTTGTTCATGTCAACAGGGATTGTTTATCTTGCTGGCCATAATTATGTTCATCTGAGCTTCAGTCTCTCGAGTTCCTGTAAACCATTAGCCGGTGCAATGTTCCCTGAAACTTTATCAAGGCAAATGCATGCTATTTATTATCCTAGTGGCATCAAGTAGAACCGCAGGACCAGATGATGCTTAACAAGCTTAGTTTCTTTGGTTATGCTTAATAAAATGCAAAAATATATAATATATAATATAACGCAGTGTAACCACTTAAAACCTGTATAGATCAACGGCTGCTTCACGTTTACAGCGAGATACCGTGACTCAAGACACTAGCAGATGTTTAACAGTAACGACTCCAGCATTACTGTAATATCTGTCGACACACAGTGAACGACACTTCAGATCCTCATTACAGCGACAGGAGGGTGTCAGATCTGCACTGACGAGTTATGCTTTACTGGACAAAACTGCTTTTCCAGAAGCGTTCATAACACCTGGGCTGGGCTGGCTTGTGTGTTTTTTACTAACAAAAAAAAAAAATCTACACTTTTGACAATGAAAATGGTTTGAATGTTCTCTGACCTTTGACCCAGCAGAGCCGGCAGGTCCGTGGCTCCCAGGGAGTCCTGGTTCACCCTGAAGAATGCACAAGAACACAGATATAAGAACACAGATATAAGAACACAGATATGAGAACACAGATATAAGAACACAGATATAAGAACACAGGTATAAGAACACAGATATAAGAACACAGGTATAAGAACACAGGTATAAGAACACAGGTATAAGAACACAGATATAAGAACACAGATATAAGAACACAGGTATAAGAACACAGATATAAGAACACAGGTATAAGAACACAGGTATAAGAACACAGGTATAAGAACACAGATATAAGAACACAGATATAAGAACACAGGTATAAGAACACAGATATAAGAACACAGGTATAAGAACACAGATATACCATTGGCCCGGGCTCTCCATGAGGTCCTCGTTCTCCTTTCTGCCCCTGCACGCCCTGTTACACAGGGCATTTTCTCAGTGTCACACAATTTAATGAATTATGGAATTAATGTTTCAAATCTGGGCAGAAAATTGATAACGTGTTGATCGTCCTCTACTTGCTGTAGTGATCTGAGGCTACTGTAAATATCACAAATGCTTGTGACAGCATGCAATCTATTAACTGCTTATTTCTTTACACTAGTAATTACATTGTAATACTGTATTCAAATTTGTACATTTTAAATGAAATATATTACAGTATTAAAATATTTGTAACACAGAAAAAGAAAAGAAAACTGACTGTAGTCCAGTGAAAAGTAAAGTAATGCAATGTTATTTAAATCAGCAAAAATTAAAAGCAAGCACAAGAAATAAGACCATGATCTATGCATCTATGCACTTTACAATTGAAAAAAATAATAATATGATTATTATAATTGAAAGAATATAGTACCTTTTCTCCTGGCTTACCAATGACTGGTCTCGTTGCTCCCTGAAACACAAAAGTAGATCTTCGATATTTTATTAATTATCTTCTTTTTTATTTATTTTCCACACCCAAACTAAAGCACTGCACATCTGTGTGGTGGACTGAAAAGTTTGATATCTGTCTTTCAAATGTAGTGAAGTTAAAATAAAAAGTTTCCAGAAAAAAATAATACTCAAGTAAAGTACAGACACTCAAAATTGTAGTTCAGTACAGTATACTCAAGTACATGTGCTGTTACGGTCCCCCTGTGCTCTCTATCGGGCCGAACACCGTCCACACACTCATGTCACACACTGAAGCGCTGTCCCACATGACGCACTATACACTTGTGCACTTTGTACCGTGTAGTGTATGAACTTTATACGTTTATTTTGTCTTTCAACATCGGAGTCTGAAAGCCCATAATTAAAGCTTTGCCAGTCGAGTGCATGAAGTTTTTTTGGTTAAATAAGTGCACTTTTTCTTTTTGTAATTTGCAGTGTGACTACACTATTTATACTACAAAGTGGCATAGAATAGTGCACGAGTACGCGATTTGGGACGCAGCTTGAGTGTGCTGATAGATAGAAGCGTTGGGGAAGTGAAGTGTGCAGTCAGTGAGAGCTCCTACCATTGGTCCAGGCGGGCCCGGTTCCCCTGGCAACCCTCGTTCCCCTCGCTCACCCTGCGTATGAAATACACCGAATATGATTTGCAATAAGTGCAAAGCTCACCAGATTACAGCTAAACGCATGTGTAAATATGTGTGTGTTTTCTGATGGGAGACTCACTTTCACTCCCTGCTGCCCCGGATCGCCTCTCGGTCCCGATACACCGGCGTCGCCCTACGAGACACAGCAAACACAACGCTGGCGTCTTCATCAGATACTGTACGACTACACTGTGCAAATATTCAAAAACTGCAACAGATCTAACCTTACATTTCATGTAATTTTACAGTAAAATACTGTTAAAGGGTACAATATGCAATATGGTTTCGCCACCAGGGGTCGCTAACCTCTTACAATAACAAAGGCGTATATTAATGACGTATATTCCGCATTATGGATCTTGTCGTCAAGCTGAGGGATCTTTTATGGATGAGTGAATGCAGTGATGTTTTTATGACTGGTATGAAGCAGGGCGCGATTGCTAATGAGAGACGTATACCAGCGCCACACACATTAGTGGATGTCAGTACATTATAAAGGCATGAGACAGATTTTAATAGCGGCACCATTCAAACTCTTTGCTACGGATGCGAAAAATGCAGAATTTTTTTAATTTATGACGGATGAAAGTTTCAGAGGAGAATGGGCGAGCGTGATGGACATACTGTGAGGTCTTATATATTTTTTAACGTGCGAAAATTTTGGACATGAATTCCAGACTCAGTGTGCAATGGCCTTTATTCTGGTGTTTTTTTCTGTAAAATATCCATGATTTTGAGGTTTGTTTGTTTGTTTTGTGTGTGTGTTTGTTTGTGTGTGTGTGTTTGTGTGTTTGTTTTGAAGTAAATGGTCTGCCACTGTAAGAGCTCCTTACCTTTTCTCCAGGCACACCTGGCTCTCCCGGCTCTCCTTTTGAACCTTGAGGTCCCTGTATTGAGAGAACACACAGATAGTCTTCGGCCGGAACGGAAAGCGTGGATATCCTGATATATAGGTGTGTGGTGTACTCACAGGTTTCCCGCCGGGGCCCGCAGGACCGTCCCTGCCCGTCTCCCCCCGCTCACCCTGTGGAGATCAAACTGTGAGTAACCCAGTTAAAGAGAGAGAGAGAGAGTGCACTTACACAGGAGAGAGAGAGAGAAGGAGATGTGTGTCGACCCTCGGTCCCGGCGGCCCGTCACTGCAGTCACACTCGTCCCTGGGCCCCGCGCTGGGCTCTCGATCCAGGGGACACTGCACACACACACACACACTCATATCAGCAAGACCTCTGCAGACACCACACACACACACACACTCATATCAGCAAGACCTCGAGCTCATCACACACACACTCCGGTCATGAGTGTGTGCGGTTCACACGTACCCGTTCATCGTCCTGTAAAACAAGGGAGATAAAAAAGGAAGTTAGTGTGTGTGTGTGTGGATATTTGTCCTAAAGTGTGTCATAAAGTGTGTTTCGCAGCAGTAGTTAGTGTGTTCATCCTTCCCTCGCGGGTCAAATTCACCCCAAGCCCTAAAATTTTACTTTTTTCTAATTTATTTTTTACAGAAAGCTTGTTTTATTTAATCTATTTATAAAATCTATTTTAATGCAATTTTTTTGGGAGATTTTGATTTTTTTTTAAATGACAAGATTACTATAACTAATAATACAAATTTTAGTTTAAGCACATTCCTCGCATTCATTCAACTCAAAATAACTCACAATTTCATGCATCTTTTTTTCATGCATTTTTTTAAATGAAATAATAATGACAGGAATTATATTTAACCCTTAAAAAGACCAGTTCCCGCCCCACAACCAATCAAACGAATGCAATTCTACAATTCAGTTCGTTAGCTCTCACCACAGAGTAGATTTCACACGCCGTCTCTCTCTCGCTCTGATGAGGGTCACAGTAAAGCCTCAGTTTCTGAATCTCTGTCTGTGTGTTTCAGTGAGAAACGACAAAAACAAAAACACACATTTAGGCTTCTCTAATTCAACACAACACACGACTGCAACCCGTACTTTAAAAACAGCCTACAAGAATATCAGTTCACTTAATATACATGACAAACTCAAATATTTTCTCAATAAAATACTTTTATTAACTTTTTTCATATAAAATATTTCATATAAAATTTTTGAGTTTGACATCAAACACACAGAACACAGCTATATTTCAGAACAGAATAATAATGAATCATTTCTGAACATCTTTATTCACCTTTTTCTCATGGTTTCTCAATAGAATTCATAAACATATAGAATAGAATATCATCATTCTAATGGCGGCTCATTTTACCGTGTGACAACATGCCCCGCCGGAGCGCCTGAGGTTTAAACCCGGCGAGTGTGTCCGCTGTTACATCAGCATTAAACAACTATTAAATTAGTGATATAAGATTAAAAAATCAGATTTTTCTAATTTTAAATAAACACAAAAAAAAAGAGTTGGAAAAATTAACATAAGTAAGAAATGTACTTTTACTGTGGATAAATAAATGTGATATCTTCCAAATATTTGTTTGTCTCTATATAGTGTTGATATGATGCCTAGTGTGTGTGTCCACTCTCCCCTGCTGCAGTGTGTGTGTGTGTGTCCTGCCCTTACAGGGAGCGTGGCGTCCGAGCCCGAGCGCTTGGAGATCTGAGTCTCCCCGTTGATGAAGATCGGCTCCGACGGCTCCAGAGATCGCTCCTGGATCTGCCGGTCGTCCAGGAAACACGTCACATGTCTGGGCCGGACCAGAACCTTCAGCTGGTGCCAGCGGCCATCGAACAGAGCCTGCAAGAGGATGAGTGAGTGTGTGAGTGAGTGTGTGTGTGTGTTCAGGTCTATAAAGACTAAAGGTGTGCTCAAAGATCTGCTTCTTCATCCGACAGTAGTGTCAGACAAGAGACGCACAATTTCCAAAACTAACGTTCCTGCATGAATGAGGCTGTGATGGAGGAAAGTTTTTGATTGACAGCTTCTTTGTTGTGTTTATGGTGTGGGCTTTCTGTTTCATTTTCATTTATTTTCATTGGTGTCTTGAAAAGTTGCATTCATTATTATCATTGACACATAGGTAAATCCAAACAGAAACAGCATGATGCTGTAGGGTTGTGCTCACCTCGATACCTGGAGCATCAAACGTGACGGCCTGTTCCTCATTAACGGTGTTGGTGGTGGTGAAGACGAGGGCCCGGACCCGGCCGTCCAGCGAGACCGCCGCCTGAATCTGTCCATCTTTAGACAGGACCCTCCACAGGTCGAACCTCTCCCCGACCGAAGGCGCTCGCAGCCGCAGCGTCGACACGAACACATACGAGGGCGGCAGGCCTTCGGGGAAAATCTCCCTTTAAAACAGGTCACTATCCGTCAGATGGATAACACACACGTACGCAATAAAAGCCATCAACTAAACTATTACACATTTTCAGGAGCTCCAAAAAGTGATTCAGGATCACTAATTATTACATATTAAACACATTAAATCCACTGTGGCCAGTGTTAGTTGATACATCTGATTACATAATGTTAACAGTGGATTTAAACGTGTTTAATATGTAATAACTTGTGATTCTGAAATCATTATTACATGTTAAACATGTTAAAATCATTGTGATCACTAAAATCAGATCATCAACACTCTAAACAATGCTGGGTTGCTTTAACCCAAATTTGGGTCAAATATGGACAAACCCAAATGTTAGGTTAAAAATGTCATTTAAATTTTTTAACTAATTTCAGCTTTAACTTTCAACTGTACTTTTTTAAATACATTTTCAACCCAACATTTGGGTTTGTCCATATTTTACCCAAATTTGTGTTGAAATAGCCCAGCATTTTTTTTTTTTTTGAGTAAACACTGTTTTAATACTCTATTGTTGATTTATTTAGCCTTTTCCACCAAGTAAAGCAATTTGAGAAGCTCATTAAAGGCTCTATAGAATAATAAAGTTATTATTATCAATGTACACGTTAATATTTGAGTTACTTGTTTAAAAATAAGTAATGCATGTCACTTGTCCGTTGAATTAATTTGCTTAAACATTCTATAAACTACTGAACTAACTCTTCTCCATAACGATGGCACTTAGAGCAGAATATAATCTTATTCTAATGTGTTTTTAAAAGAAAATGAAAGTATTATATTATTACTAGCTACAATAAACTCTTGCAACAGATCTCCTCCTAACATTTCTTTCCATCAGAAGTAACTAAGTTAGGCTGCGTAATGAGGCACTTTTTAGAGAGTGACGCGATCCTGTAATGCAGCATTATAAGAGCATGTTTCCCGTCATTAACCGTCACGAACCGGACCTTGTGTTCTCCGTGATGTCGGTGCCGGTGTCCAGCAGATACGCGTCCTCCGACCGCAGCGAGCCCGGGATCTTCTGGGCCTTCAGCTGGATCTTCATGCCCAGCATCAGCTCGAAGCCCTTCTCGTCCCGCGACGCCACGGGGATCCGAGTGGGACACACAGATTCTGCACAGACCCATCACACACACATCTGATCACACTATCAAACCAGCAGATGCGTTTTATTTTTAATCATGTTTCAATTTTCATTCAGTCAAAATGTAATATGATTGCGCTAAATATGATAATGTACAATCCAGCCGATTCCCAGGAATGGAGGAAATCATATTTCAAAGCTAAGCCCAGCGAACAAAACAACATTTTATTTCTGAATGTTCTCTCAGTTTTACTTTTAAAAACCTTTTTTCTTGAATATGCTCATTTTAAAGGGATGGTTCACCCAAAAATATATGGAAAACCAGACGCTCATTGACTTCCACAGAATTCACAGTAAGTCAGTCGCTACCGTAACCGGTTAAACCCCGACTGAGCCAAAGGCAACAGCTGCAAATAAACCCTCAGAAAACATGGACAAATGTTTGTAACTGCTTCAGGTTCCTGCCACTATTAACAAGCACTCTCTCCATCCAAACCAGAACATGCCAACCTCGCCAGCTCCCGGCCCCTCCTGCCATGGCATCGCGCCGCTGGTTTGGCCCGCGGTCTGTGGCTCTCCGTGTCGCTGGGCATGAATGGACTGTGGTGTTTTAGTGGTCCGCTGCTCTTTCAAGAACAGGAGAGGATTGCTAATGCCAAAACTAGTTTAAATGTTTATGGGATTGCTGACACGCATGTGAGGCCTTGCCCACGCTAATACGGGTTCATTTGATCTTTTCCTCTCCGTTTTGGCCCTCCGTCCACACTGAGAACACACAGCGTGTTTATTAATGAGAATCTAAAGTGGATCAATTTGTGAACGCAGTTTCCGTGTTGTAGTGTGGACCGTCAACGTGGCGTTTACATTTATCCAGATATATTTGAAAACTGCTGCTAAAATATCCATCCACACTAGAGTTTTCCAGCGTTTTCCGACATATCAGCAAATGTTTAGCAAACGCGAGTAAATGTTCTTTCATCTGTGATATGAAGAGTGTGCAAAGTCACATATTTTAGCAACAGTGTGAAAGTGAACGGGCCCAATACCGCTATAAACATGAATTGGTACTATATGCGTCATATGACTAAACTTACGTTTCCTCAGTCCACACTACAATGCGAAAACTGCATTTTCAAATGAATCTTTGGAGTGCATTTTCAAAAAGTTTAATTTTCATGAATAAAAACGCCGTCTCAGTGTGGCGGAAGGCCAAAACAGAGCGAAGGATGCGTTTTCAAACGAAACCGTATTACTGTAGTGTCGCTAATGCCTGAATCTTACGATACGTTTACACGATAATGGTTAAGACGAAGACGTTTTTCCTTTGAGTTTTCTGTGTACAGACGACACCATCGTCAAAACAATCCCCATTCACACGGATCCGTGAAAACAACTACAACGCTGTATGCTGCTGCCAGGCCAGTAGATGGCGATGAAACAGACTGAACACGTTATACACATGTGCAGGACGTCATCCTCTTCGCATTTTTGTTGTTTACACGCATAGACATATACACTAGACGTCACCTTGGGTTCTAAGCATGCGTCAAAACTGCCGCCATCTTGGATCAGGGACCTTTGAATGAAATCTGAACTAGGAAGTATGTTTTTTAAACAAAATGTTTGTTTTTTTCTAGAATCAATGATAAATACATGTCTAACCGTTGGAACGAACCAAAAAAAAATTAGAAAATCACATTCATGATGATTTATGGTGATTTTATTTCTGTTAGACCTTTGTCTACATTGACGCTGATGCATTAAAGGGGAGGGGCTCCCCTGTTCCAAGATGGCGGCTCTATTGACGCATTCGTTCTAATGAACTGCCGTGGCCAAGGCGACAACTAGTGTATATATCTATGGTTTACACGGAGACTGCTTTTAAAAACTTGTACTTTGAAACCCGTTTTCAAAGGTTAGCATTTTCAGGTGCCCAAAACACCGTTATCGTGTGAACGAACGGCCAAAACGCACATTACGTGTCTGGTTGAACGCGGTGTCGTGTGAACAGCCCCTTACCCTCGCACAGCTTCTGTGCCATGGCGTCCCGGATGCGGTCGATGTTGGTGTAGTCCTCGGCGTAAAGCACGTAATCCCCCTCCGGCGCGTTAGCGATGGTCACCAGTTCGGACGTGGTGATCTCCGAACCGACGCCCACCGCGAACACCGTAACCCCTTGCGCCCGCGCCTCCACGCTAGCGTCCATAACGTCGTCCTGCGACTTCCCGTCAGTCACCACCACGGCAATACGGTTCTTCACGTCACTCCGCTGCGAAGACGCAAAGACGTGGTCCACGGAGAACTTGATGGCGCGGCCCGTCTGCGTGTTTCCCCCTAGATAGCTGATCTCCTCGATGGCTTTCACGAGATCCTGAGTGGTTTTGTGGAGGCCGAGAGGGATCTCCAGCCGGGGCGTGTCGCTGTACTGAACGACACCGACCTGAGAGTAGTGGGAGCTCACGTCGAAGCCACTGGTGACATTGACCAACCAACGCTTGGCTATCTCGAAGTCCTCGTCTCCCACGCTCCAGGAGCCGTCCATGATGTAGACCAGGTCATTAACAGCAGTGCTGCAGCCTGAAGAAGAAGAAGAAGAAGACTGAGATCGACATAAACAACACACAGAGAGTCTGAAAAGCAAACAGCGAAGCAAGCAGCAGAACAACTGCAAAAGGGAGTAAATATAGCAAAACAAATGTAAACAAAAAGGTTCACATCTCATTAATACATTGAGTTGTAATGAGATTTATTGCTTATCCTATAAATTCCTTACAATTTGTGACCACAAGGGGGCGCTGGCCTGAAACTTTGTTGAGGACCTTCAGGACGTGGTGCCGAAGAAAACCTGCTGAGTTTCGTGACGATATGCTTTCCGTTCGTAAACTTTAGCTACTGTATATTCAAAAACAATTGCAGTTATAGATCTTTTTTGTCATTTTGTAATTCAAATGATGGGAAAGTACACACCAATATCATGACGGACTATTAGACAAAGACACTGCATGTCAGACCAGCGGTTTCATGATTCATGTTTTGTTTAATTATAGTGCCACCATGAGGCACACTCCCACCACGTCCTCCGAGTGCCCCTAAACATAAACGTGTCAAATTTGGTGAAAATATCTTATTTCGTTATAGACTTCATTTGGAGTCATAGACAATTATATGACCCAAACCGGACTTTGATTGTGTTTTTTTTTTTTTTTTTTTGGCACTTACTATTACAGTATTGACATTTGGACACTAGCATGTTGGCAACAACCTATGCTTCGCGTTTTCCGACGGTGGTTTCGGCTTCGAAAGTTGTTTAAACGCTAAATCAAAATCTAGCATGTTTAGTATTGTTGGACTTGGTAAGGTTTCAGGAATCTCTGGTTCGAAACTTCTCAGATGCACATCAGGGCATCGTGCCGATGAACCACATAGAGTTTCGTAACAATACGCTAATGCGTTCATAAAATACAGCATTTTACTTCTAAATTTAAAATGGCAGACGCCAAGAAATGGCCGATATGGTAAAAATGTATATTATTTTGCTCGGCATGCCGCCCCGAATTTAACAGACCACTTTTATGATTTTTTGGAAAACCGTTCAAAAGGTATAAGCCAAAATATCTCCGGAGCACTAAAAATTAATTTTCGCATTATTCAAAAACAATTTGACGAATCAACTTGGATTCCATATTTTTTTGTTGGCTCCGTCTTAAGATGATCTGGATAAATTTTTGTGTTAATAATTTTGAATGAGAATCAGTTCCTCTTCAGCATCTCTTCTCTGATGATGTGGGCGGGGCTATAACCTGTCACTCACAAGAGATCAGCCAATAGCAAACCACAACCAGTCCAATCAGTTCCCCAGAGACACAATCAAGCCCCGCCCACATGTGTTCTTGTTTCAAAAGCGTTTCACTCGATATACGACACAATAGAGGAGAGAAGACCAGCGCTGCTTCTGTTTTAATGACGACTTTAAGAAAGCACATGGAAAACACATAATTGACATAGACAGAATCTCGCAATTACGTACTTACAACTTCAATTACATTTTGGATCTGGCAAGTAACAAATACTCTAATACCATAAAGCACACGTCACACATATTTGAACATGCTTTATTTGTACACCATTTTGAATAGAGTTTTTTACTATGCTTATTACAGTGATGCATTCTCTGCAAATGATACATGCAATGCTGAACGGCCCAAAGAAATATAATAATTTAATATCAATAGATGTGTAATAATAAGAAAAAATTACATGCATGATGGATGAAACATTTATAATAAACACTGCAATGCTCCACCAAAAATTCTGTTTTGATTTTAATGATGATTTTAATGACACTTCTGAATGCATTTCTCCGATTTGGTGATAAACTGGTAATACCGGCTCGGATGTCCTCGTCCGCTCGCGAGTTCATCAGGAGAACCAGTCCTGGCAAACACCTCCAAATCCACGACATTCCCAACCAGCGCTCCGGGCTCGAATATAAGTGTCAGTCTGCAGAGCCCTGTTGATTAAAGAATATTAAACAGTCTGTTTTGGATGCAGAGCAACACTGCAGTCTATAATTATTCTAAACGGCTAAGAATCAGTTATCTTACATAATTACATAAAGATGAGTGTTTCATTTGATTATACTTCTGATGTTACACACTTACTTAAGCTAATCAGATCAGTGCACACAGCGAGACACAATCTGTGTCACTTCTATAAACATCTACAGAATAATGGAAAGGTCCACTGCACAGTTTGATTTATAAAATGAATGAACTAGACAATAAACAATGACCAGAAGCATGGCAAACATGAGGCTGAAACACCGAGTGTGTGTGTGTGTGTACATGACAAAAACAGCCAATGACAAGAAAGACCTGCAAAACAAGATAAAGGACACTGAACCAATGAGAGAACAGAACCAGTTATAAGACGATCAACCAGTGAAAACATGAGAACAACTGGCGAAAAACCTCAAGGCATGAAATCATGAACTAAATGGGTGAACATGTTTTCATTCCCATGTTTTATGAATTTATCTCATTTTCAATAACAAATTTGTATATTACAGTAAATAGAGTTAATAGTCTCTTATTGACCTGATTAACCATAAAACAAGCTCTTCAAATGAATTAAAGAACACATATATTGAAGGATAGAGACCCTTCATTGTTAATGGTATTATGATTTGTTAATAGCATTTAATTGATTACACTGTCAATTAAACATTTGCAGTTGGTTTGATTGTAGAAGATGTTTTATGCATGTTTTCTTAATTTGTAAGGATTTCTAAGCGTCATTATCTGTTATTTTGAGTTCCTCTACACAGGGAATAATTTTGCAAAGCAATTGGTTCAAAGTTTAGAAAAGCTTCGTTTCTCCCATCACACGAGCAAGACTAAGACATACAGTATAATAAAAGACATGACTTAAAAACAATGAAAGGAAAACATGCAAAACAATCTAGACAGACATCATTATATTGTGAGGCATTTGATCCTAAAATCAACCTATTGTTGCTCGTAACTAAAGACTTCTGTTAACACTGTGATGCTAAAATATGAGCCTCATAATCAAACAATTAGTGCTATATGCTGATTACTCGTATCATATTTGGGCTCTCCTGAATCTTGCTGGTCACTTTGCACTGGCAGGAACACTCTTCAAATTTAACACAAAACTCTAACCAAACTTTTACATTCCTCCATAAACATAAAAGTTTATACGTCAACCAGACACACCCTGAATGATATGCGTAAATTATGTGAATAAAATAGCATGCAGTCTGTCTATTTTGCTAACGTTTCATTGGCAAAGCAACTCTATAACTTTACAGGCTACGACAATTCCCTTTTATTCCACTATATAAAATTGTCTCTGAGGGTCGTTTTGCTGGTACCGAACAACACGTGGTCTTGCTTTCTCGCTTTGCTTCAGTGATGTCAACAAACAGACCACAGCCACCGCTAAACCACAGGGAAATAACAGCGTCTGCAAAGAAACTGGTGAACACAACATGCAAATAAACAGGGCATGCCGAATTACGAGAAAATGCCCACAATTACACACACACATGTACTTGTGCTGCATATAGAAACACTTCTTGTTGTTCAGCAATGCCTAAGAATCATGTTGACTTTGCACAGTATAATTTCTGTTTCTTTAATAAAAATAAAAAATAGAAGACCCAAGCCAGCCTTTCAAAACCACGTCACACGAAGCATCTGTCCACTTTACAACGGTTATTTTGAGGTAAAGCGAGCTTGACTAGGGTGATGGCACTGTCTAACACAACAGAGGGGCCGTTCCCTGTCCCGCAGTGAAGCCTGGGACGCCGACTCTGGGCATCAGGACACTGCACAGGCTGGGGACGCTGTGTTTGACTGGGGCTTCGACGGTAATAACCCTGATGGCACAGTGGAGCACAAACGTTCAAGACACTCCAGTACGTGGAGAATGCAGAAACACGTACTCATGGCCGGATTTGACTGGATTGAGGATTAAACAGAAAAGAAAGCAGCAGAAGTGGAGACCCGTGTGTTGAGGTCAGTGGGACAGATGTTCTGCTGCTCAGAGAAGTTTCAGCTCAAGCGTCTCACAAACACTTGTGCTTTCAAGCCAGTCATGGGAAATCGCTGGTTAATTGGCCATTTCTTTCTGCAGGAGGTTCCCATGTTCCCCTGTTTCCCCGAATCCCCTGTCCCCCTGTTCCTATTTCCCCCTGTTCCTATTTCCCCCTGTTCCCCTGTTCCTCTGATCCCCTGTTCCCCCGATCCCCTGATCCCATGCCCCCCTGTTCTCCTGTTCCCCCGATCCCCTGATCCCATGTCCCCCTGTTCCCATTTCCCCCTGTTCCCCCGATCCCCTGTTCCCATGTCCCTGTTCCCATGTTCCCCTGTTCCCATGTCTCCCTGTTCCCATGTTCCCATGTTCCCCTGTTCCCCTGTTTCCCTGTTCCCATGTCCCTGATCCCCTGTTCCCCGATCCCCTGTTCCCCGATCTTATGTTCCCCTGGTCCCATGTTCCCCTGTTCCTATGTCCCTGTTCCCCCATTCCCCTGTTCCCCCGTTCCCATGCCCCCCTGTTCTCCTGTTCCCCTGATCCCATGTCCCCCTGTTCCCATTTCCCCCTGTTCCCCCGATCCCCTGTTCCCATGTCTCCCTGTTCCCATGTTCCCATGTTCCCCTGTTCCCCTGTTCCCCTGTTCCCCTGTTTCCCTGTTCCCATGTCCCTGATCCCCTGTTCCCCCGATCCCCTGTTCCCCGATCTTATGTTCCCCCGGTCCCATGTTCCCATGTCCCTGTTCCCCCATTCCCCTGTTCCCCCGTTCCCCCGTTCCCCTGTTCCCATGTTCCCATGTTCCTGTTCCCATGTCCCCCTGTTCCCCCGATCCCCTGTTCCCCTGATCCTATGTTCCCCCGGTCCCATGTTCCCCTGTTCCCCGTTCCCATGTTCCCCTGTTCCCATGTCCCTGTTCCCATGTTCCCCTGTTCCCATTTTCCTGTGTTCCCGTGTTCCCCTGTTCCCCTGTTCCCATTCCCTTGTTCCCCTGGTCCCATGTCCCCCTGTTCCCCCGATTCCCTGTTCCCCCGATCCCATGTTCCCCCGATCCCCTGTTCTCCCGATCCCATGTTCCCCTGGTCCCATTTTCCCCTGTTCCCGTGTCCCTGTTCCCATGTCCCTGTTCCCCTGTTCCTGTGTTCCCCTGTTCCCATTTTCCTGTGTTCCCGTGTTCCCATGTTCCCCTGTTCCCATGTTCCCATGTTCCCATGTTCCCCTGTTCCCATGTCCCTGTTCCCCTGTTCCTGTGTTCCCCTGTTCCCATTTTCCTGTGTTCCCGTGTTCCCATGTTCCCCTGTTCCCATGTTCCCATGTTCCCATGTTCCCCTGTTCCCCTGTTCCCCTATTCCCCTGTTCCCATTCCCGTGTTCCCATGTTCCCCTGTTCCCATGTTCTCATGTTCCCCTGTTCCCATGTTCCCATGTTCCCCTGTTCACATGTTCCCCAATTTGATTCATAGCTCATTTAGGCTGTGTTTACACGGAAATGATTCTAAACAGAAAACGCAAAAGTGGTGTTGCGTTATCACTTTTTATTCTTCGTTTAGACGAGCATTTTGGGTGGGAAATCCGTGTGCATTTGATGACGCAAAAGTGTGTAAAAATGTAGTATGCACTCCAGGCGGCTAGGTGGCAATGTGGAGCACTGCCACACAACAACACCAAGTCAGCGCGCCTGCGTACAACCTTCACTGTCAAGCAGACTTTTGCGTTTTTACCGTTTACACGGGAACGCAGCGGTGGTGCGTTTTTAAGCCCCAAAAACGCCGTCGCCGTGTAAAAGAAAGGCACATCCGATAAAATATTTTTTACGTTTTCACCTGCGAGCGTTCTCGTGTAAACATGCAATCCAGCTCAAAATATCATACATTTGGGTTCTTTGTCGACCTCTTGTGGAACAAACAATAATACAACATGATATTTTGTGACTCTAGGTGGACTTATAGCTCTATATAGAGCAAATGTGTGTGTGCGAGCAAGTGTGTGCCAGTGTGTGCCAGTGTGAGTGTGTGTGTGTGCATGCATGAAATTAATTCTCAAGACCGTGGGCAAATTGTAATATGTTTAGTATTTTATAATTAACATTTATATATGTTTAATCTGGACAGTTCACCCTAAAATGAACATTTACTCTCATTTCAATCCAAAGCTTTCTCTCTTCTGTGAAAAAGCGGTTATTTTGACAGATGGCTGAATGTTATTAATGTTGTTTGTTTAGTTGTTGTTGTTTTTTTTTCCGTCAATGGCCACCAAAATTATTTAATTACAAACAGTCTTCAAAATATCTTCTATGTTCCGCTAAAGAACGTCATAGAGGTTTGGCTTGACACGAGGCGGAGTAAATGATGAGAGAATTTACATTTCTGGCTGAATAACAGGGTGTAATGTTTGGGAGAACTACCTTTACAATTATCTAATACATTACCTATGCTCATTTTTAATTTGCATTCATGTTTTATGAGAATTATTTTATTAAAAAACGATATTCTATTTAAGATAAACATCTGCAATTAAGGTCATACTTCACTAAAATTTAAACAGAGAACTCTTTGGGTTTTGAACGAGTTATAATAATAGTCTTATAAGTCTTATAATAATAATAATAATAAAAAGCTCAGGTGTTGCAAGATCTGAAACAGCTCCTACATGGTCAATGACAGCAGTAATGCTCAGATCTCAGATCAGTAATGCTCAGATCAGATACAGTCATGGACCCATACATGTTGGCAATGCATCAGACGAGAAGCATGTTTCAGTGCATATATGAATACGAATATAGAGTGTAAAACTAAACAGTGGGATATGCATTACATAATAATCCTGCAATCCTCTTGTGTGAGACTGACACCTGTCCTATAGAGGGCGTCCTCTTTGTGCCATCAAACATTTTAAACATCAAGGATAAAATTACTTTAGAAATAGATTTTAAATACAGGCCTGTATTGTATATCTCAAAGCAGGTTATTTTAGATGACAAAAATATATTAAACCCATGATTATAGACTAATATAGTTAAGTAAATGTCTCAACATTTCTAACTCAATGTAATATTAATAAAAACAAAAAAGACTAAATAGTGTCCATACATTTAGCTAGATTAGGTTTTCTTTGCAAATGTTAAATAGATATTAAGTTTCAATCATGCAACATTAATTAATATTGGCTCTTACCTGCTCTTTTAAAATTGCCTCCAGAAAAAAAAAGAAAGAAAGAAATGAATGCATGAAAGAAATGAATGACTTAAACTGAAAAGTGAACTCGATAAATCATTCCATCACTCTCTCTGTCTCCAGCGGAGGAGCCATGATGCCTGTCACTCCAGACCCCTTATACAGGCAGACCCGATGACGTCACCGAGACACGCCCCCTCGGGTAGACGTGCACGATGGCGTCATGCAGAGAGACACGCCCCTCAGACCGGCAGCTGGAAACACACAGTCGCTTCTGCTGGGTTTGGTTGTAAATTATCAGCTTTTTGAAAAAGTGAACTACTCCTTTAAATACATTCTGCACTCTTAGAAGAAAAGGTTTTATCAGAACCCCTACAAGGTTCTCTACAGAATCCCTTTTTATGGGTTCAATAATGAGAACTCTTTAGGGTTCTTTGTAACCAAGGAAAAGGTTATATATGGAACCTTTTGGGTTCATTCATTATCATTTGTTTTGTCTTTTCTGGATGAAATATTTCATATTATTGACAAACATAAAGACCATAAATGTATTTATGAATGCATGTGAATGATCACAAAATTCAAGATATGGGGATTACAAAATGTATATATATAATTTTATGTAGGCTAGTTAATTGATATCATATGAAGAGTGCCATTTCAGTTTTTCTCCCCCAAAAATCGGCATGATTAAAATGTGATATTAAGTTACTACTACAGTGTAATAAAAAATGACTTAATTACAACTAAAATGTTGCAGAATAATATATTAATTTTTATATATTTTTATTTATTTTATTTTTATATATATTTTTTTAATTTTTTTTTTTTAGATTACTTAAACAAGTGACATAAATCAATGAATGAATGAAAATGACTGAATGAATCATTCAAGACAACAAAACTCTGATTTAATGATCAATATACCTGCCTACAAGTTACAACTGTTGCTGTGTCTGCCTGCGTTTAAGTCATGCGTCTAGATCATAGACTGTAAAAAACCGGGTTGAAGAAATATTGTTTAGGCCACTTTGTTTGATATAATCACAACAATTTAACGCAAGTATGGGAATTGAACTCAGATCTTCTTGATTAAAGCCCAACGCTTTATCAACTGAGCCACTGCATCTATTGCGGTTTAGTTTTATTTGTTGGAAAAATAATTATAGAAATATAATTTGACACAAGAGGGCAGTATAGCCCCATTTATGGTTCTGAGTGTAAACTAAACCGTGACATCTACACGTTTTCCAAAGTGGACCAACGTGATTATTTCACGTCTTGTCGTGATACGGGTTGGGCACTGAAGTTACAGGAGTTTCTTCCCGTTGCTAAGCAACGGAACTAGGTCGAGTATTTAAAAGGTTATGGTTACAAAAGGTTACACATACACACACACACACACACACACACACGTGTGTTAGTCAAGGTCAGAGTCGAAGAGCTGAAGAGTGTGGAGAACAAAAGCGTGGTGAAGGCCAGAGGAGAGAGACGCTGAACTCGAGAAGTGATGAAACTCCAAACATTAGCAAAGGTTTTCATAAGCAGTAAGCCATCATCATCATCATCATCATCATCATCATCATCATCAGAATTATAACACATAAAGGCTTGATATCTCACTTTGCATGCAGTGAGTCAGTTGAATTACTGAAATGAATGAACTTTTGCACTATATTCTAATTGGTGAGTACCTGCTGCGTGTTGTGATTTTCAGTTGTTTTAGCTCATTTAAATCCTGACATCTTTCTCAGCGCAGTGAGTGAATGTGGCCACCGGGTGGCGCTGTACTCCACTGCTCTTCTCCGCTAGTTACTGCAGATTCTGTGCAGTGTGTGTCAGGAAACCTGTGGTCATTTTGGCTGATACCTGACACTGTTTTCTGTCCTCTAGGTGGCGTACTTGAACTTGCCGTAGAAGTTACAATTATATTTCATGCTGCAAACAATATTCTCTCAAAGGTTTATGATAATCCAGAGAGTATTACAATGCACTTGAAAAACATTTAATTTTATCCAGCACACTTGAATGTGAGTATACATACAAATTAATAATTAGAGTACAGAATTCTCCAAATGTTGGCTGTGTCCGAAATCTCCCACTGGTGAGCTCACTATATAGTGCTCTAGTAGTGGTTTGAGTGGAGATTTCGGACACAGCCCTCTCAAATAATCTAATATTTAGTTTACACTAGCGTATGTTTCTGTCATGTGAAGGATTTCAGGCTGGAGAGGAGAGGAGACTGACGAAGGATGCACGGCAGGCAGGCCCTGTAGTGTTGACTGTCCTCCAGCAGGGGGCGTCAGTTCTCCTCTCTCTGAGCTCAAATCTTTAGCTGATGTTCTTTGACTTTTGTTGCTCAATTTCACACAGTATCATTTCCTTCTTGCAATCCAGTCAGTTTTGTGACACGAATGCTCCGTTTTATACAGAGCATAAAAGTGTTATTCTTTTATTTATTTCATGAACACAATATTGGTTGATTTGGCATAATCAAATCATTGGCATGAAGTGGTGAATTGATAAGTTATGAATAACATGAAATGACGTTATTTCAGTTACAGTAATGTTTTAGTTAATATGAAACGAACAATTAGATTATTACTAACATTAACAATAATTAATAAATGCATATATCAGTAAAAGCTCCTGTATTTATACGTTGTGTCTTTCTCCGGGGTTAATTGTGCATTACTCCGGTTGACCCGGTGTGCATTATAACAGCGATGGGCTGTAGTTCCGGTGGAGGGAAGAGTTCTGCGTTAGAAACCGACCGGGCCAAACTCATCTAACCACAATTAATGTTTTAACAAGAAAATCTAATTATGGAATGCGCCGGAATCGCCTCATTCAATCGCCATGACAACCGGAACATCAGCATGACGGTGTGTGTGTGTGTGTGTGTGTGTGTGTGTGTGTGTGTGTGTGTGTGTGTGTGTGTGTGTGTGTGTGTGTGTGTATGCGCGGTTTTATGAATATGCAAATATGCCCCGCCTCCACTCACTCCCTCACTCAGAGATCCACTGGTTGACGATCACACGTTGATCTGATTGGTTACAAGGTGGTTTGTGACGTCAGAAACACCAGCGATTTCAAAGCGTGTTTTTGAGACTGTCTTTGGTTCACTGCAGTTTTAAGGAGGAAATACTCAGCAATGCTGTCCACTTATCAACTCACACACGGTGTGTGTTAAAACGTATTAAACACACCAACAACAACAAAAGAACAAAGAGAGAAGCATCCTCTCACTTTCAACTGCCGTTTCCCCGCAGCAGATTTCACAACAAGTCTGAATATTTCTATGAACATAAAAAGATTCAACAACTGAGACATAACTGGAACAAATCTGCCATTTGCTGAACAGAAAAGTAATAATCTAGTCTGAAGAGATTTACTCCGATCAATTTCTGTGGAAACACTCATTTGATGAATAGAAAGTTCAAAAGAATTTTGACATTTCCAATAGAAATATTTTGTAACATTCTGATGTTAGCATTGCATTATGGTGATCCCCCAGCATGCACCTGATCCTGATCTCTTACACGGTGAGCAGCACAATGAATGTTCATTTGTTAAACGTGACACACACACACACACACACACACAGGGCTGTCGCTTCATTCATGGGCTGGAAAGTCATTAATATTGAAGGTGCACATTAGGCATCACTGTGATGCATTTCATGAATTATGAAATAAGAAACATGTATAAATTAAGTCCATAATGTGGTGTGTTGATGTTTAAAATGAAAAACTGAACAATTTCCTGAACCTTTTGATAAAGACTGCATGTTTTAGTGTGTTTTCTGAATTAGGAACATGGTGTTGCCGGAGTGAAGCGCTACAGTTTCTGCATCACTGTGTTTGACTACAATAAAAACATCATTATGATCATCTCATAAGTCATCGCAGCTGCCGGGGGTGGGCTGGGAATGAAGGAAAATGATGGATTACTCGCAGTGAATGCTTTAAAAGGGAGATTTAGAGTCATTTCAAAATGCTTTTGCTTCAAAGTGTCGAGTCAGCCTTTTCTGTGCGCGTGGAAATAGGCCTTTGCAGTCTATAAGAGGAGTCGCGTGTCTCAGCTGTCAGATTCACACAGTAATAATGGCTGAATCCAATTGCTGTTTAAGCCTCTAAAAACAGCCTTTTGGGAATCTGAAATCTTGCATGAACTTTCATCCAGATCTGAGTTTTACAAGAGCGGTTGGTTTCACTGATGCTGATGTGATTGCTTTGGGGTTTTACTTGGACTTACTGTCAGTCACAGGCACAGCACTCTGCTCTCACAGAAGTTGGTTTTATGGTATTATGAACATATGCTATGAACATCCAGTTCTCCCTGGAAGGCACATTTTATTTTATTTTTAATTAATTTTATTTATTATTTACAAATAAGATATGTTTAAAGTGATCTCTGAATGTATACTGCCAGTGGAAAAAAAACAACTACTTTATTATATAAATATATTATTTTTAATGTTTTTTTAAAATGAGAAATTTAATAAAGTTAATAACACAAATGTAAAAATAGGAGTATTTTAGTGACAAAGAAATAGAAAATTTTGTAAAAATATATTATTATAATTTTTTTTATAACTTTATTTAAAAAAATTAAAGGAAACATTAATTTAAGTGTCTAAACGTTTGATGAAATTTATAAAAGAAAATCGAACACTGAGTGTTTGAATTATTCTTTGATTACTGGAGGAGTCATTACCTGTGCATGTGTGGCCTCGTCGTCTTCCACACGCTGAGGAACATGAGCACAGATCCCAGGACAGCCTGAGCTTCTCCCAGCGGACGCCATTGGAAATAGATTTCTGTTTCCACTAATGACTTGTTAGTTGTGGCAGGAGTGTGTGCGTCAGCTTCTCTGAAGAGCCTGAGTCAGCAAACATCGAGAGAAAGCTTTCGCGTGTGCCATTACACTGGTGGCTATTAGAAGACGTCCTGGAGCTGGGCTTAATACTGTCCAACGGCACAATAATTACATGCATATTATTACATCATACTTTTTGAAGAGTGACACTAGATCATCATGTGGATTTGGAATTAGTTGATGCATTGTATTATGCTTGTGAAGACATTAATAATGCTGTCATATTAAGTT